TTAATGTGTGCACTTGTATGTGGTTGAATGTTTTGTCATCACTTATCAATCCACAGTGGTGTAAAAAGTACCCAATTGTCATTCTTGAGTAAAAGTAAAGATACCTTAATAGAAAATGACTCAAGTAAAACTGAAAGTCACCCAGTAAAATACTACATGAGTAAAAGTATTTGGTTTTAAATATACTTAAGTATCAAAAGTAAAAGTATAAATCATTACAAATGTAATATAAAGCAAACCAGGTGGCACCATTTTATTGTTTTTATGTATTTATTTACGGATAGCCAGGGGGAAACACTCATACATAATGTACTAACAAAGCATGTGTTTAGTGATTCCGCCAGATCAGAGGCAGTAGGGATGACCTGGGATGTTCTCTTGATAAGTGTTTGAATTAGACAAGCATTCAAAATGTAACGAGTACTTTTGGGTGTCAGGGAAAATGTATGGAGTAAAAAGTACATCATCTTCTTTAGGAATGTAGTGAAATAAAAGTTTTCAAAAATATAAATAGTAAAGTAGAGAGACCCAAAAAACCGACTTAAGTAGTACTTTGAACTATTTTTACTTGAGTACTTTACACTACTGGCAATCCATTTAAATGAATTGATAACCAAATATTTGAAATGAGATAATTGAATATGAAAAAGCATATTACAGAATAAAGAAAGTGCCAAAATTTGCTACTTGTCGATGAGAGTTTGCATGGAGAAATGTGGAGGTTTTTCCCCACCCTGCGTCTTGAATGATGACATCAAAGCTTGTGACAGGATGTGTAGTTCTGTATGAAAGCCACATTGGCGGCTAATAAGCATTTCATTTTTGGGGGCTACAGGCGAATATATTGGTAAAAGTTACCTTGTCCAAGAGATTTGCGCGGTTATCATGCCAGGGTAAGTCTACACAAAACACAGACCTTATATGAAGTAGTTCTAAAATCCCCTATGGAAAAATGAATGGTGGAAAAACAATTGGAACCATTTCCGGGTTTTACTGCCAGGTCTTATGGGTATTATGACTCATACTGTGGTACTCAGTTTTTTTTTTCTCCAGAAAATCACATTGTAGGAATTTTAATGAATTTATTTGCAAATTATGGTGGAAAATAAGTATTTGGTCAATAACAAAAGTTTCTCAATACTTTGTTATATACCCTTTGTTGGCAATGACACGGGTCAAACGTTTTCTGTAAGTCTTCACAAGGTTTTCACACACTGTTGCTGGTATTTTGGCCCATTCCTCCATGCAGATCTCCTCTAGAGCAGTGATGTTTTGGGGCTGTCGCTGGGCAACACAGACTTTCAACTCCCTCCAAAGACTTTCTATGGGGTTGAGATCTGGAGACTGGCTAGGCCACTCCAGGACCTTGAAATGCTTCTTACGAAGCCACTCCTTCGTTGCCCGGGCGGTGTGTTTGGGATCATTGTCATGCTGAAAGACCCAGCCACGTTTAATCTTCAATGCCCTTGCTGATGGAAGGAGGTTTTCACTCAAAATCTCACGATACATGGCCCCATTCATTCTTTCCTTTACACGGATCAGTCGTCCTGGTCCCTTTGCAGAAAAACAGCCCCAAAGCATGATGTTTCCACCCCCATGCTTCACAGTAGGTATGGTGTTCTTTGGATGCAACTCAGCATTCTTTGTCCTCCAAACACGACGAGTTGAGTTTTTACCAAAAAGTTATATTTTGGTTTCATCTGACCATATGACATTCTCCCAATCCTCTTCTGGATCATCCAAATGCACTCTAGCAAACTTCAGACGGGCCTGGACATGTACTGGCTTAAGCAGGGGGATATGTCTTGCACTGCAGGATTTGAGTCCCTGGTGGCGTAGTGTGTTACTGATGGTAGGCTTTGTTACTTTGGTCCCAGCTCTCTGCAGGTCATTCACTAGGTCCCCCCGTGTGGTTCTGGGATTTTTGCTCACCGTTCTTGTGATCATTTTGACCCCACGGGGTGAGATCTTGCGTGGAGCCCCAGATCGAGGGAGATTATCAGTGGTCTTGTATGTCTTCCATTTCCTAATAATTGCTTCCACAGTTGATTTCTTCAAACCAAGCTGCTTACCTATTGCAGATTCAGTCTTCCCAGCCTGGTGCAGGTCTACAATTTTGTTTCTGGTGTCCTTTGACAGCTCTTTGGTCTTGGCCATAGCGGAGTTTGGAGTGTGACTGTTTGAGGTTGTGGACAGGTGTCTTTTATACTGATAACAAGTTCAAACAGGTGCCATTAATACAAGTAACGAGTGGAGGACAGAGAAGCCTCTTAAAGAAGAAGTTACAGGTCTGTGAGAGCCAGAAATCTTGCTTGTTTGTAGGTGACCAAATACTTATTTTCCACCATCATTTGCAAATAAATTCATTAAAAAATCCTACAATGTGATTTTCTGGATTTTTTTTCCTCAATTTGTCTGTCATAGTTGACGTGTACCTATGATGAAAATTACATGCCTCTCTCATCTTTTTAAGTGGGAGAACTTGCACAATTGGTGGCTGACTAAATACTTTTTTTCCCCACTGTATGTTGTGTTTTGGTGGTTAAATCAATGTTCTCATGGTATTTCACAGTAAACTTATATTTTGGACAACGGTTGTGTGGTGAAAGATGTCACCAAACAAAAATGAATGCACAATAAAATGTTTTGAATATAAGACGTGTTACCACTTCAAAGTTTTTTACTAAGAGTTAAAAGAAAATTCACCACACACTTGTGAAAATTACATATAATTACTACAAATACAATAACAAATGATAACACACATATTGTAAAGTGTGTGAGTGACAGTGAAAATGTTATGATAGCTCATCCTTCCTTACAAAGAATGAATGACACAGTAACACTGTTATCAACAAGTGTAAATTGAGACCTTTGAACATCCTGTCATTTCTTGCCTCCTGTGGTCAAAGATGGTCGGAAACCCAAGATCAACTGTCCTTGGAACATCAGATATATTTGTGTTGCAATGGTAAATGCAAGTAACAAGTCACCTCTGCAGTCTGCATAGCCTGCTCCTCTCATAGATGATTATCATTACAGTGCATTCGGAAAGTATTCAGACCCCTTGACTTTTTCCACATTTTGTTACGTTACAGCCTTATTCTAAAATGGATTGGATAGTTTTTTCCCCCTCATCAATCTACAGACAATACTCCATAATTTGCAAATGTATTACAAATAAAAAACATATCACATTTATATAAGTATTCAGACCCTTTACTCTGTACTTTGTTGAAGCACCTTTGGCAGCGATTACAGCCAAGCTTGGCACACCTGTTTTTGGGGAGTTTCTCCCATTCTTCTCTGCGTATCCTCTCAAGCTCTGTCAGGTTGGATGGGGAGTGTCACTGCACAGCTATTTTCAGGTCTCTCCAGAGATGTTCGATCGGGTTCAAGTCCGAGCTCTGGCTGGGCCACTCAAGGACATTCAAAGACTTGTCCCTAAGCCACTCCTGTGTTGTTTTAGCTGTGTGCTTAGGGTCATTGTCCTGTTGGAACGAGAACCTTCGTCCTAGTCTGAGGTCCTGAGTGCTTCGGAGCAGGTTTTCATCAAGGATCTCTCTGTACTTTGCTCCGTTCATCTTTCCCTTGATCCTGACTAGTCTCCCAGTCCCTGCCGCTGAAAAACATCCCCACAGCATGATGCTGCCACCACCATGCTTCACCGTAGGGATGGTGCCAGGTTTCCACCAGACGTGACGCTTGGCATTCAGGCCAAAGAGTTCAATCTTGGTTTCATCAGACCAGAGATTCTTGTTTCTCATGGTCTGCGAGTCCTTTTGGTGCTTTTTGGCAAACTCCAAGCAGGCTGTCGTGCCTTTTACTGAGGAGTGGCTTCCGTCTGGCCACTCTACCATAAAGGCCTGATTGGTGGAGGGCTGCAGAGATGGTTTTCCTTCTGGAAGGTTCTCCCATCTCCACAGAGGAACTCTGGAGCTCTGTCAGAGTGACCATCGGGTTCTTGGTCACCTCCCTGACCAAGGCCCTTCTCCCCCGATTGCTCAGTTTGGCCAGGCAGCCAGCTCTAGGAATAGTCTTGGTGGTTCCAAACTTCTTCCATTTATGAATGATGGAGGCCACTGTGTACTTGGGGACCTTCAATGCTGTAGACATGTTTTTGGTACCCTCCCCCAGATCTGTGCCCTGACACAATCCTCTCTCGGCGCTCTATGGACAATTCCTTCGACCTCATGGCTTGGTTTTTGCTCTGACATGCACTCTCAACTGTGGGACCTTATATAGACAGGTGTGTGTGCCTTTCCAAATCATGTCCAATCAATTGAATTTACCACATGTGTACTCCAATCAAGTTGTATAAACAGCTCAATAATGATCAATGGAAACAGGATGCACCTGAGCTCAATTTTGAGTCTCATAGCAAAGTGTCTGAATACCTATTTAAATAAGGTATTTTATTTTGAATACATTTTCTAAAAACCTGTTTTTGCTTTGTCATTATGGGGTATTGTGTGTAGATTGAGGCAAATGTTTTATTTAATCAATTTTAGAATTAGGCTGTAACGTAACAAAATGTGGAAAAAGGGAAGGGGTCTGAATACTTTCCGAATGCACTGTATTTCAGAGACAAAATAAAAATCATTAAAACATACATGATGACAAATCCAAGTCCAGAACAGAGAATGACAGTGATTGCTTTATTCTATACAATACTGTATACAGTCTGTAGGCTACATTACATATGGAGCAATTAACTATACAGAAATGAATGCTCATGGGAGTGATTTATGGTTTTTCTTATATTCATAAATCAAAGGCATAAGTGTGTCAATAATCACATCAAACTGAAGGCATTCACAAATCCAAAGTCTAAGTGTCAGCAGAGTAGAATGGCACATAGTCAAACATGTACAAATGAGCTCCTTTTGATGTCTGTACAAATCACAGTGCAAAATGTTAATCGACTCTACAACCGTCAACATGCTGTAAACGTACTATTCACATGAACCCACATGAATTGTTGAAACCGAAGGGCATTATACACCGTTTGTACTTTCCACGGGCGGTAGCTGAGACGTGCAGGATATTTTTGAGGGACGCGCCAGGTAGGCGCCGGGCTTAGTCAGGGTCTGGCTGTTCTCTTGGAGAGGCCACATCTCCTGCAACGTGAATGAGGGTTGATGGGCTGGGTGGTTGCTCATCAGAGGTCTCCTCTGCCTGTAGTTGGCCCACACCTGGAGGATGGTCTCTTTGAATGGCCGTGTGGTCAGGGTGTACAGTATGGGGTTGAGGGCGCTGTTGATGGGCAGAATGAAGATCACCACCCATGAGCTGATGGTTCCTATTCGGGAAGAAGGAGAAGATTACATTATTGTCCATTTACTATATGAGCAACGGAAATATGTTTTTTAAAATGCCATTCTCCCTGTAGACGATATGTATAACATACAGTCAGGGATGGAAATTAAGCTAGAACTAGCCCGCAAGTACTTTTCAGACCAGGCTAGTAGAAAATGTGCCAAACTAGCCTGTCAGGCCAGTGAAATGTTGTCTTTTCAAATATTGCATGGCATAAAATGTGCACCCTAATTTACCCAGGCTAGTTGAAATCATGTTCTAGTAACTCGGCGGGCTAGTGCTCAAAAGTTCCATTCCTGTATACAGTACATACATAGGAAGTAGGGGTGAGGTGATGTGACGTGGGTTGGTGGGCTGAAAGAGAAGTAGATGGATGGAGGATGTTCTGTGATGCTGGTCCATTTGTAAACATGCAAACACCCATCTGCCTGGAAGTTTGGGATTCAATTTACAACCAGGAAATAGGATTGATTATGGAACTAATCTGAATGATGCAAATATAATATCTGTAAAAATGTGGTCCTCTGTAGCTCAGTTGGTAGAGCACGGCGCTTGTAACGCCAGGGTAGTGGGTTCGATCCCCGGGACCACCCATATACAAAAATGTATGCACGCATGACTGTAAGTCGCTTTGGATAAAAGCGTCTGCTAAATGGCATATTAATAATTAATTAATAAAAAGGACTTATATTTTGATGTAAGATGGCACTGCATAGTAGCCTACATACGTTTAATAGGCTACAAATTGAGCCTGTCTGGGTTTCCAAATGAAATGTATGAAATTATACAAATTGTCAGATTATGACAGTACTGAAACTCCTACCTGGAATCTCCACCTGCAACAGTGATAGAATCTTGAGGACAAAGATGGGTATCCAGCAAAGAGAGTCTGTGATGACGATGGAAAAGAACCTCTTGGCTATGGTCACCTCCTTTTTGATGTGGTTACTATATTTTGTCGTCTGTGTCCCTGTCCTCTGGATGTTGTAGAACATACTCCCGTAGGACAATATGATTATGAGGAACGCAACCAGGTTCAGGCCTGTTGAGGGAAAATAAATTAATCAGCTCCTTGGAACTTATTCAATGGTAGATCCATTATCATACAAAGTAAAACATGAAATTGCTTTTACAGCACAATTCAAACAAGTATTGCAGTTGTACACACATGGGACAAAGGCCAGTGTGGCAACTTTAATGAGACAAAAGCAATGCATTTGTTTTAGGGGCCTAATGTGGTACTGCCTTTGTAACGGATAACAAAATAGATAATAGAAAAACACTTTGAAACATTTTGCGATAATGGACATTTGTCTTCTCAACCAAACCCTCATTGAAAGGCTGATAGTGGAACACTAGCACCCACAGTGTAGAAACCCTGAAGAAAACCGCTCAAGGGCACAATGGAAGTATACACTGAGTGTACAAAACATTAGGAACACCTGCTCCTTCATGACAGACTGATCAGGTGAATCCAGGTGAAAACTATGATCCCTTATTGATGTCACTTGTTAAATCCACTTCAATCCGTGTAGATGAAGGGGAGGAGACAGGTTGAAGAAGGACTTTTAAGCCTTGAGACAATTGAGACATGGATTGTGTATGTGTGCTATTCAGAGGGTGAATGGGCAAGACAAAATATTGAAGTGCCTTTGGACGGGGTATAGTAGTAGCAGAGGAGATTGGTGGGAGGAGCTATAGGAGGACAGGCTCATTGTAATGGCTGGAATGGAATTAATGGAACGGTATCAAACATATGGAAACCACGTTTGACTCCGTTCCATTTATTCCATTCCAGCCATTGGAATGAGCCCGTCCTCCTATAGCTCCTCACACCAGCTTCCTCTGGGTAGTAGGTGCCAGGCGCATCGGTTTGAGTGTGTCAAGAACTGCAACGCTGCTGGGTTTTTCCCGCTCAACAGTTTCCTGTGTGTTTCAAGAATTGTCCACCACCCAAAGGACATCCAGCCAACTTGACACAACTGTGGGACACATTGGAGTCAACATGGGCCACCATCCCTGTGAAACGCTTTCAACACCTTGTAGTAGATGCTCCGACAAATTGAGGCTGTTCTGAGGGCAAAAGGGGGTGCAACTCAATATTAGGAAGGTGTTCCTAATGTTTTGTACACTCAGTTTATATGGTAGTTTGGATTCTGACAACAGCAGCCTTGTTGTCAGGCTTGGGAGTTGAACCAGGCAGCAACCCTCCGGCTACTGGCATGCTTCTCAAACCTCTGATGTAATAAGAGAGCCCCGTGATTAGGACGTTAAAATGTAGGCTACATCTAATAACAGCAGCACTTGGAACTATATTGAAAAAGACAATGCTCTTTTCAGAGTGACATTGGAACAATTGTCATTTCAGAATGACATTGGAAATAGACAACACTCATTTGACCTTGACAGTAACATTGAATTAGATAAGACACCCACCCAGGAAGATGACGATGGAGTACACCTGCGCCCCCGTTGTCTCAGGCTGCTCCGAGTGTAACGGAAAACACACGCCGTTGGTACCATAGAAGTTCCTAAACAATCCTTTGAAGACCAGGGGGAGGAAGGCGATGATGAAGCCAATAAACCAGATGCTCAGAAGGATCGAGACAGTGCGCCGGCAGCCCGGGGTTAAATACCGGAAGGGGTAGACGATACAGATGTACTTCTCCAGGGTGAGGTAGGTGAGAAGGAGGACGGAAACCTCAGTGGAGAGCATGGCGAGGGAGCCGATCACCTGACACTGGACGCTGTCCATCCAGGCCTGGGCGTGGCGGTTGTACTCACCGCGGAACTTGAGGTCGTAGGCGCCAATCATGAAGAGGTAAACGCCCATCAGTCCGTCGGCACCTGGGTGGTGGAAGTGAGTTGCTAGAGTAATTACTATTACCAAATTGAACTCAGTATGTGCATTACTACTATCTGCTCAACTTTTTACAGTGAAACGTCGTACTTCGGTTAGCGCTAATTTCTTTTCAATCTAACTCCTTGGTTACATGGACTTACTCTATAGTCAATTAATTCTAAAGTCATTTAAGAGTCATAAAGTGCAGAAAATAGTAACTGTAGACTTGGAGCAATGCAAACTTCAGTAATGTAATGGGCCAAGCTTTTAGTCTCAGTAGTAGGCCTTCATAGCATCTACAAGTGGAATAAAAGCACAGCTCAACTTCGACACTTCTGAGGTATAAATGTGAAGGACAAATTGATTTCAGAGTGAACAATCCATTCAGGGTTAATAGCATTGTCATGTACAAACTTTGTAATATAACCAGTGCTTAATTTGAGCCGGATCAGAGGATCAAGAGCTTATTTAAAAAAATAGCCTAGCTGTGGATTGTAGCCAGATAACAACTGAATACCCTACAGTCGAGAACACGCAGCAAATCTGTCAGTGAAAAAACAGCATGCAGAAAATATTTCAAATACAATTTAGGGAAAACACAGGTTGGAAAGCAAATGGCTCATGCTGAAAAGAGAAGACTATGCTGTAGGCTACCAAAATATTTGATCAACTTCCAAATATTGTTTTACAAAATAAAACAAGAAAGAGAGAGGCTTTTGGCACGAGTGCATCAGCCATCACCAGCGAGTGAGCTGCGCATCATTGGGTGAGTCAGTGAAACTGGAATGCATTTTTAGGACTAATTTCCTCCTCATTGTAGCCTACAATATGTGTCTCCACACACCTAGTCCTGGGCTATTGATGGATTCAAGTCAAGGTCGTTTTTTTGATCTCAGATTCTCAATTTGTCAGTGTCAAAGTACCATTTTGATCATTTGTGCGGTATTAAAAAAGATTCTGCCATGTAAAATGATGTAGAATTGCATGAAAGGCGTTTATAAAAGGCCCAATTTTTCCCGGACCCTAGGCTACTAAAGATATTCCCCATGTGTGCAAGTTCTGTAAGTGCCTCTACTCTACTGCTCTATGCCACTTTTTTCTCATGCGTTCCAGTACCTCACAACCTCAGAACTCCCCAGGTCACCCCCCTCTCGCGCTCACTTTTTGTTCCGGCACCTCCCGAATTTACAATGACAAACTTTTCTGGTAATATATTAACTTAATCTTAAACCTCCATATTTGCAATAAGCTTTAACCAAACTTTGAAGTCTGTTTGACTCTGCTGAGATGTCCCCTTTTTCAGTAAGCCATCAATCAACTTAGAGATGAAATATTTGCGCAAGGAAATCAAACAGAAATGTCCCATGGAAATTGAATACATATGACATTTTGGTCCAAGACAAATTCATCTGGCTGGTTTTTGACTACAGTAACGGTGATGCCAAAACAGACAACATATTTACAGCTCACATTTCCTCTGTATGGCACTGGGCTCTCTCTCTTACAGGACTCAGTGACTCATTCCATAACATAGCTCTAGACCGTGTCATTGCACATCCTTTGATGTGGAAAGGTACCAAATGTGCAAATCAAAAAAGCTTTTTTCATCTGACACCTACCAACATTAAAGTGTAAAGGATGGTGGGGGGTCTGCCAAACACATTCTGATCTTCACAAGGATAAGTCCTAAATACATAGAGAGCTTGGGACTATAAGGTTCTATCTGCATTTTTGTCAAAGTTTAGTTATTGACATAGCCTTGTTCTGTTCAATGTTCTCTACCTATATAGTCCTATTAATACCCCAATTCATGTTGTTAAGTTCAAAATAATAAAATATAAAAATTGCTGACACCATTCAAACCAATGAGGGTTCGGAACTTTAAAGCCATTTAATCTTTTTGCAGATTGAACCTTATAGTCCCAAGCTCTCGACATACTGTATATCTCAAGCTTTGTATTTTTTTTGGGATGGGGGGGGGGGGGGGGGGGAGTGTTTGATCCCCTGCTGATGTTGTACGTTTGCCCACTGACAAAGAAATGATCAGTCTATCATTTTAATGGGAGGTTTATTTGAACAGTGAGAGACAGAATAACAACAAAAATCCAGAAAAACGCATGTCAAAAATGTTATAAATTGATTTGCATTTTAATGAGGGAAATAAGTATTTGACCCCTCTGCAAAACATGACTTAGTACTTGGTGGCAAAACCCTTGTTGGCAATCACAGAGGTCAGACGTTTCTTGTAGTTGGCCACCAGGTTTGCACACATCTCTGGAAGGATTTTGTCCCACTCCTCTTTGCAGATCTTCTCCAAGTCATTAAGGTTTCGAGGCTGACGTTTGGCAACTCGAACCTTCAGCTCCCTCCACAGATTTTCTATGGGATTAAGGTCTGGAGACTGGCTAGGCCACTCCAGGACCTTAAGGTGCTTCTTCTTGAGCCACTCCTTTGTTGCCTTGGCCGTGTGTTTTGGGTCATTGTCATGCTGGAATACCCATCTACGACCCATTTTCAATGCCCTGGCTGAGGGAAGGAGGTTCTCACCCAAGATTTGACGGTACATGGCCCCGTCCATCGTCCCTTAGATGCGGTGAAGTTGTCCTGGCCCCTTAGCAGAAAAACACCCCCAAAGCATAATGTTTCCACCTCCATGTTTGACGGTGGGGATGTGTTCTTGGGGTCATAGGCAGCATTCTTCCTCCTCCAAACACGGCAAGTTGAGTTGATGCCAAAGAGCTCCATTTTGGTCTCATCTGACCACAACACTTTCACCCAGTTCTCCTCTGAATCATTCAGATGTTCATTGGCAAACTTCAGACAGGCATGTATATGTGCTTTCTTGAGCAGGGGGACCTTGCGGGCACTGCAGGATTTCAGTCCTTCATGGCGTAGTGTGTTACCAATTGTTTTCTTGGTGACTATGGTCCCAGCTGCCTTGAGATCATTGACAAGATCCTCCTGTGTAGTTCTGGGCTGATTGCTCACCGTTCTCACGATCATTGCAACTCCACGAGGTGAGATCTTGCATGGAGCCCCATGCCGAGGGAGATTGACAGTTCTTTTGTGTTTCTTCCATTTGCGAATAATCGCACCAACTGTTGTCACCTTCTCACCAAGCTGCTTGGCGATGGTCTTGTAGCCCATTCCAGCCTTGTGTAGGTCTACAATCTTGTCCCTGACATCCTTGGAGAGCTCTTTGGTCTTGGCCATGGTGGAGAGTTTGGAATCTGATTGATTGATTGCTTCTGTGGACAGGTGTCTTTTATACAGGTAACAAGCTGAGATTAGGAGCACTCCCTTTAAGAGTGTGCTCCTAATCTCATCTCGTTACCTGTATAAAAGACACCTGGGAGCCAGAAATCTTTCTGATTGAGAGGGGGTCAAATACCTATTTCCCTCATTAAAATGCAAATCAATTTATAACATTTTTGACATGCGTTTTTCTGGATTTCTTTGTTGTTATTCTCTCTCACTGTTCAAATAAACCTACCATTAAAATTATAGACTGATCATTTCTTTGTCAGTGGGCAAACGTACAAAATCAGCAGGGGATCAAATACTTTTTTCCCTCACTGTAGATCAGCTTTAATATTATCTCAAGCCTTGCATACTGTAGCAAAGTTTAGTTAAATTGAACAGAAAGGTGTGCCTCACTGTGCAGGGCACAGATACAGGGGAAAATGCAGGTAATATAGCTATCCTGCTGACTTCCAAGGAAGTAACCATTAATATGTCTATCTCATTCCCTGCATCACCGCATTTGTGACAAAGCCTGTTTAATTGAGCAGAAAGGTGGGCCTGGCTTGTAGCGAAGGCACAAAGACATGTTATGTAGCCAGATAATGTAGCCCTCTCTCCGACTCCCAGGGTAGTAAGACATAAACATACTATGTACCAATGGTTTGAATGTCGACAGTTCAAAAGCTAAACCTGCATATCAAAGCTAAAGACCCCAATTCATTTGTTTGCTGAATAGAGAAACCTGCACTTACAGTTCAATAAGAATGTTCACTCTATCTGAGGTGTTCACCACGTCTTATATGACACACCCAGAACGCTGTCCCTCTCGCGGACATTGTCACTGGATATTGACGCAAAACCTCACCTTCCCTTACAATACAGCATAAACATTCTGATTGAAGCTGCAGTGTGGTTTTTCTTTATTTTAATCAAATTGGGCTGTCCCCGAACCCCCCCCCCCCCATTGAGCTTGTCTGATGCTTTAAGCTCACTGTTTGATGAAATAAAACACAAATTACTCAAGAGGGAGCCAAAGATCAAGATAACTTGAAGAAAAAAACCTTAACCTGTCCCGACCATCATCCTCCAGCTCCTACTGGCTTTCGCAGATTCTGCAGTTACTCTCCTGAAATTGCCGGTAATAGGCTACATGAGGAGTCGGCAAACTTTCTCATGTGGAATGCCAATTTATCTTACCATTTCTACTGATCTGCGTGCCAGTTATGGTTTTCAGATGCACATTTTCGTGGAACAGTTTCATTTAACAACTAAAAACATTGCAGCCTGCCCGTAGAAAATATCCAGATTATTTATTTTTATCTTATAAATCACATTGGCTACGCATGGCCTGTCTGCAACAAACTTGAACCATTGTATCAACTATTAACTTGGGTCCAGCCTGAAGATCCTTGCCACATTGTATAAAATATTCTGGGCCCTCAGAGTTTCCTGTGCCAGTGAGCTCCGGACAGACACAGCTGTAGGCTATTTATACAACGGATAAGAAGTTATCAGGTAGGCCTATTTTATGACATTTTATGGATCAGAGCATGACATTTTTCCCTTTCACGCGGAGTGGTTATCGAAAGGGAGAGAGCTGGAATGATTTTTCAAATACATTGAAGAATTGTCATTCTCAATGGATGTAAAAACAGACTTTTTTTTCTTGCTGTGTGAGGTGAAGAAAACATTACTTGTTTCTCACAAGTGTAGCATAGGTTGTGCACTCTGCAAACAATGTGTCCACTCCGACAATGAGAACGGTAAAAGACTAGAATAATAATATATTGAATACATTAACAGACATTACCGTAACCAAACAAACATTGTAGATTAGAAATGAAAGGAATTAACGGGAAATGTACTAATGGTGATATGTAATGGGGACTTGATAGACACTAACAATCAAATGCAAACAATTCACACAATGAAGTTATGAAACAATGAATGTGCACAAATTGACGGGAGATAGACGTGCATTGCGCAGCCACACTCCCCTTCTACTGTGCCATCACCAAGGCCTTCGCAATGGATTAGTCTTGGCCTCCGCAATGGATTAGTTCACTGAGATGGGCACAAATAAGACAGGTGTCTCGTGTGCCATAAAAAAAATATATATATAATTGGGGTCAGCCCTAAAATCTATTGAATCGGGGCCTGAGTTGAATTGATATGAAAGGTGTCTCTTACAACATAGGGAGATGATACACATGGCATGGAGCTTGTTCTCCGATCGGATGTAGGAGCGCATGCAGATGACGAAGACGTTGCCGAAGCACGTGGTGGCAGACACCACCCAGACGAACACCCTCAGGACGATGTTGGCCAGGAGGTCCTCGAAGGACGAGATGCCGTCCGTGTTGGGCTTGCAGCTGCGCACGTGAGGGGCGTAGCCGCAGTACTGGAACTTCTTAAAGTAACTAAACACAAAGAGGGAAATCAATGAACAGGATGAAAGCAGGAGACTCCAGATACCATTCCTAGCCCCTAGCCTCTAAGCCAGTGGTCACCAACCTTTTCTGAGTCAAGATCACTTTCTGAGTCAAAATGCAAGCCGAGATCTACCGCTCAGATATTTTTTTTAAACATGACTTCAAAAACTAAAAACATTAACCAATTAAAAACAGTTCTGTAGCAATGAGGTTTGTGCAGTAGGCCATAGGCCCAATACATTATCACTGCATGTTGTTCTTCTCAGACCATTTTGAAATTATATTTCAAAATTGTAGGTAGCCTATATGATTACACTGGTAATATATAATTTGTTGTATTACCTGTGAGGCACAGCTGAGTGAGCATAATATATATATATATATATATATATTTATATATATATTTTACTGGACTGATGGCCTGCATCTGATGGTAAGTCTGAGGGGAGGGAGCAGCGGTCTATGGCGCAAGGTAACTGTGCAGACACTGTGATCTGAGCTATCTTATTGGCCAGCGGTAGGCCTATAGGCAATGTTCCCTCAAATGTTTTCGTGCACTGAGCAAACTTTTTGGTCTTGTGAGCGGAAAACTTGAACATTGCGAGAATTTTGAACACTGAAGCTGAACCCTTACAGTTTTAGACAGCAGCCAATAGGCTATTGTGGCTATTTGAGCATAATGTAGGCCTTCCAACAAAACCAATGGAGCAAATCCCATAACATTTTCACATGGAAATAGCTTTTGATTTCTATGGCCTACAGTAGCCTATATGTGGTGTTCAATGCAGGCCTACATTGCATGAGACTTTAAAACAGTTTTTCATGTTATGAAGGGCTTGACATTATTTATTTTTATTTTTTACTTGGTCTGTAAAACCATGGGTCAAATTGGTGACTGTAAATTGCATTGTTGCATGATGCAAGAAACCACTTTACAAAATCAAATGAATTATTATTACCATACAGAGAATTAGACAATGCAGGCTTCCCCTCTCCTATTGGCTTATTTACATATTCAAGCCTGTCTCAAAATACAACACTGCCCTTTAATTAAGACACCGGACTGGCTTTTCAAAGACACATTTTGTGCTTGCATGAAGCAGTAACTCCCCATTGCTGACCCATACTTACCTATAACTGGGCTAATAACTCGCTAACTAGCAAATAATATCAACAAATGTGCGCACGCTTCGCTCTGCGCTCTGATCTAAACTGATCTGAAAAGCGCATTTACTCACGGGTGATTGAAATAACGCTCATGGGCTACCCCGCCAAGAGAATTCTTCTCCATTGCACTCTATCTCTGCCTACAACAAAATCAAAGACGCAATCTTACAAAGTTAGATTTGTTGCATTGACAAGGGCCTGATATAATGTTGATTCGATCACAGAAAAAATCTACAGTACCAGTAAACATTTTGGACAGACCAAAATTTGGGACAGACCATTTTTTCTTCTTCTTTGCTTTGATGATAGCTTTGCACACTCTTGGCATTCTCTCAACCAGCTTCATGAGGAATGCTTTTCCAATAGTCTTGAAGGAGACTACATATGCTGAGCACTTGTTGGCCTGCTTCTCCTTCACTCTGCGGTTCAACTCATCCCAAACCATCTCAATTGGGTTGAGGTCGAGTGATTGTGGAGGCCAGGTCATCTGATGCAGCACTCCATCACTCTCCTTCTTGGTCAAATAGCCCTTACACAGCTTGGAGGTGTGTTTTGGGTCATTGTCCTGTTGAAAAACAAATGATAGTCCCACTAAGCGCAAACCAGATGGGATGGCGTATCGCTGCAGAATGCTGTGGTAGCCATGCTGGTTAAGTGTGCCTTGAATTCTAAATAAATCACTGACATTGTCACCAGCAAAGCACCCCCACACCATCAAACCACCTCCTCCATGCTTCACGGTGGGAACCACAGATGCGGAGATAATCCGTTCACCTACTCTGCGTCTCACAAAGACACCGCGGTTGGAACCAAAAATCGCAAATTTGGACTCATCAGACCAAATGACAGATTTCCACCAGTCTAATGTCGATTGCTCGTGCTTCTTGGCCCAAGCAAGTCTCTTCTTCTTGATGGTAGTGGTTTCTTTGCAGCAATTCGACCATGAAGGCCTGATTCACGCAGTCTCCTCTGAACAGTTGATTTTGAGATGTGTCTTTTACTTGAACTCTGTGAAGCATTTATTTGGGCTGCAATTTCTGAGGCTGGTAACTCTAATAACCTTATCCTCTGCAGCAGTGGTAACTCTGGGTCTTCCTTTCCTGTGGCGGTCCTCATGAGAGCCAGTTTCATCATTGTGCTTGATGGTTTTTGCGACTTTACTTGAAGAAACTTTCAAAGTTCTTGACATTTTCTGGTCAGTTCATGCCTTTAAAGTAATGATGGACTGTCGTTTCTCTTTGCTCATTTGAGCTGTTCTTTGCCTGTCATCAAGGCAAAGGGTGGCTACTTTGAAGAATCTCATATATAAAATATATTTTGATTTTTCATGGTTTTGATGTCTTCACTATTATTCTACAATGTAGAAAATAGCCAAAATAAAGAAAAACCCTGGAATGAGTAGGTGTGTCCAAACTTTTGACTGGTACTGTATATAGTGCAAACTAATGGGTTGGTCAGGGAATTTCAATCTCTTGCCTCTCTGCGCAGCATGGCATTTCTTCTGCGCAGCAGTCCTGGAGGAAGTGTGCGGTCACTCACGTGCGTAGCTTAGAGGGAACATTGCCTATAGGTGCACTTGATTTGCTCTCTGGGCCTGCCAGGTAGGCAGAGTTCTATCTTCAGACACATGAAATGGTTCAAAATGGGAATCTAGTGCACCTACCGACAACAGTGCGAAACACATTTTTAAAAAATAGGAACGCAAGGCTTTAACATTGTTTTTTTCCAGAAATGTTTGGTGATCAACTAGGAATGGCTTGGAGATCGACCAGTCGATCGCTATCGACCGGTTGGTAACCACTGCTCTAGGCAGTTCATGATCTGAAGCAATATGTGATTAAGCTCTACCTTGCGCTCTGATAGGCTAGGTGGTATTTCTGCCATATTGCTTACATCTATCATGTCCTTTCAGATCTACACAATTGCCTAGGGTGTAGGGGTTAGTGATTGTTTCAGGGCCCCTATCAGGATAGGGGATAGTGCACATCCAAAGGTTGCATAGAAGCGGAGCAAAAAAGTATATGATACAAAGTTGTGCAGCACACGGTGAGAGGACAAGGATTGGTTTTTTCAATTAATCTCATCCTGGACCAACATTGTTTTGGGATGACCTTACTCACAGGCATGTCAATTATGTAACGCACAGCTTGGGATCTGTCACGGATTCAGCCGAGGCTGCTCCTCCTTGCTCGGGCAGGCTTCCGGCGTTCGTCGTCCCTGGAGTACTAGCTGCTACCGATCGATGTTTCGGTGTTTGTCTTGTTTGGTCTTTATTGTTTACACCTGTTTCCCATTATGTTGGATTGTATTCCCTATATTACCCCCTGTCTCTCATTGGTTATTTTGTGTGTTATTGTTCGTTTGTCATTCCGGCAGTTTCTTGTATGTACGGGTCTTTGTGTTTTCCTCCCTGTTTGGAGGTTTGTTGTTTTTGTACGTTTATTTTACTGTGTTCAGTAAAGAACGTTGCCAGCCGCTCTGTGTCCTGCATTTGACTTCGCTAACCGCATACACGTCGCCTGACAGAATAACACACCAAGACATGGAGTCAGCAGGAGTGGCGGTGCCAGATGGATCACTGGAGGAGCGTGTAACACAACAAGCGGCCATGATCCAGGCTCTTGGCACCGCCATGGAAGGGGTGATGAACACCTTGGAGCGATGGGAAAGAGGAGGTTTGCCCACACCTCCTCCGAGGATACCACCACCATCAACTATACCCATCGCCTCACCTCCGGAGTCCAGTGGGATTCGGCTCTCGCTCCCGAGGGCTTATGATGGCACCGCGGCCGGGTGTCAGGGTTTCCTGCTCCAAGTGGAACTCTACCTGGCAACCATCCACCCGGTGCCCTCGGGATACGAGAGCGTGTCTGCCCTCATCTCCTGTCTGTCCGGCAAGGCACTGGAGTGGGCCAACGCCGAGTGGGGGGGAATAGACGCCGCTACAGTCAACTACGCAGAGTTCACCCGCCGCTTCAGGGCGGTGTTCGATCATCCCCCCCCAGAGGGGAAGGCGGCGGGTGAGCGTCTGTTGCACCTCAGACAGGGGAAGAGGAGCGCGCAGGAGTTCGCACTGGACTTCGCACTGGACTTCCGGACTCTGGCTGCCAATGCGGGATGGAATGAGAGGGCCCTCATCGACCACTACAGGTGCAGCTTGAGGGAGGACGTTCGTCGGGAGTTGGCCTGCAGGGACACCAACCTAAACTTCGATCAGCTGGTGGACATGTCGATTCGCCTAGATACCCTGTTGGCTACCCACGGACGTCCGGAGTCGGGGACGTCCATTCCATCCCCCAGCACTTCCAAGCCGAGCCCTATGGAGCTCGGGGGTGCTGGTGCTAGGGAGACGAGGAGAGAGACCAGGAGAGAGGCCATCCCCTGCACCAACTGTGGCCGCAGAGGACACACTGCGGTTCGGTGCTGGGGAGGGTCTCCTAGGAATAGAGGCAGTAGGCCGCGCACTGATGAGTCATACCAGGTGAGTAAGCACCCAACTCACCCAGAGCTCTCTGTTGTACATATGTGTATTAAAGTTGTGTTTCCCGAGGTTTCTTCTCATTCCCAGCATAAGGCGCTAGTAGATTCAGGCGCAGCTGGGAATTTTATCGATCGCCGGTTCACGTATAAGTTAGGGATTCCTATTGTACCAGTTGATGTGCCCTTCCCCATCCATGCCCTAGATAGCCGCCCTTTAGGGTCGGGATTGATTAGGGAGGTCACAGCGCCACTTAAGATGAAGACGCAGGAGGGCCATGAGGAGATAATACAGTTGTATTTGATTGATTCTCCTGCGTTTCCCATGGTGTTGGGGCTTCCCTGGTTAACATCTCATGACCCCAACATTTCATGGCAACAGAGGGCTCTCAAGGGATGGTCTGATCAGTGTGTCGGGCGGTGTGTAGGTGTTTCCGTAGGGGCAACGACGGTGGAAAGTCCGAACCAAATTCCCACCATGCACATTCCTCCTGAGTATGCCGATTTGGCACTCGCCTTCTGTAAAAAGAAGGCGACTCAATTACCACCTCATCGGCAGGGGGATTGTGCGATAGACCTCCAGGTAGGCGCTGCGCTTCCTCGTAGTCATGTGTATCCCCTGTCTCAGGAGGAGACGGCAGCTATGGAAACATACTTCACCGAATCTCTGATACCGGGTTACATACGATCGTCCACTTCTCCTGCATCCTCAAGTTTCTTTTTTGTGAAGAAGAAGGATGGGGGTTTACGCCTGTGTATTGATTACCGTGGTCTCAATCAGATTACAATCAAATGCAGCTATCCTCTCCCTCTGATTGCTAGTATGACGGAGTCATTACACGGGGTGCGATTCTTCACAAAATTGGATCTCAGGAGCGCGTACAACCTGGTGCGCATTAGGGAGGGAGATGAGTGGAAGACAGCGTTCAGTACCACCTCGGGTCACTATGAGTACCTCATCATGCCATACGGTTTAATGAATGCTCCTTCAGTCTTCCAATCATTTGTGGACGAGATTTTCCGGGATTTGCATGGACAGGGTGTAGTGGTGTATATTGATGACATTCTAATATTCTCCGCTACACGAGCCGAGCATGTGTTCCCTGGTGCGTCGGATGCTGGGTAGACTGTTGGAGCATGACCTGTATGTGAAGGCGGAGAAATGTCTGTTCTTCCAGGAGTCCATCTCCTTCCTGGGACATTGGTTGTCCGCGTCAGGGGTGGAGATGGAGATTGACCGCGTTTCAGCCGTGCGTAATTGGCAGACTCCCACCACGGTGAAGGAGGTGCAGCGGTTTTTGGGTTTTGCCAATTACTACAGGAGGTTTATCCGGGGTTTTGGACAGGTAGCAGCTCCCATCACCTCCCTGCTAAGGGGGGGCCCGGTGCGTTTGCAGTGGTCGGCTGAGGCGGACAGGGCGTTTAGACATCTGAAGGACCTGTTCACCTCGGCTCCGGTGCTGGCACATCCGGATCCCTCTTTGGCGTTCCAAGTTGAGGTGGATGCTTCCGAGGCGGGGATCGGTGCTATACTGTCTCAGCGCTCGGGCACGCCTCCAAAACTCCGCCCCTGTGCTTTCTATTCTAAGAAGCTCAGTCCGGCGGAACGCAATTATGACGTGGGGGACAGGGAGCGGCTAGCGGTGGTCCAAGCCGTGAAGGTGTGGAGGCATTGGCTTGAGTGGGCTAGACACCCTTTTCTCATTCTGACTGACCATCGTAACCTGGAATACATCCGGGCAGCGAGGAGACTGAACCCTCGTCAGGCTAGGTGGGCCATGTTTCTTACCCGGTTTGTATTTAAGCTCACTTATATACCAGGGTCACAGAACGCTAAGGCAGACGCCCTGTCCCGACGTTATGACGCAGAGGAGAGGTCCATTGAGCCCACTCCCATACTTCCAGAGTATTGTCTGGTGGCACCGGTGGTGTGGGAGGTCGATGCAGACATCGAGCGGGTGTTACGTGCCGACCCTACTCCCCCAGAGTGTCCAGAGGGACGGAGGTACGTGCCGCTCGAGGTTCGTGATCGACTGATATATTGGGCTCACAAGTCACCCTCCTCTGGTCATCCTGGTATTGGTCGGACAGTGCACTGCCTTAGTGGGAAGTACTGGTGGCCCACCTTAGCTAGGGACGTGAGGGTTTACGTTTCTTCCTGCTCGGCGTGCGCCCAGTGTAAGGCGCCTAGACACCTGCCCAGAGTGAAGTAACAACCCTTACCCGTTCCACAACGGCTGTGGTCTCACCTATCGGTGAATTTTGTCACGGACCTTCCCCCCTCCCAGGGGAATACCACGATCTTGGTCGTTGTGGATCGGTTTTCTAAGGCCTGCCGTCTCATTCCTATGCCAGGTCTTCCTACAGCCCTACAAACGGCTGACGCCCTGTTTACTCACGTCTTCCGGCACTACGGGGTGCCTGAGGATATAGTGTCTGATCGGGGTCCCCAGTTCACCTCTAGAGTCTGGAGGGCGTTTATGGAACGTCTGGGGGTCTCGATTAGCCTTACCTCGGGTTTTCACCCTGAGAGTAATGGGCAGGTGTAGAGAGTAAACCAGGATGTGGGTAGGTTTCTCAGGTCCTATTGCCAGGACCGGCAGGAGGAGTGGTCGGGGTATATCCCCTGGGCAGAGATAGCCCAAAACTCACTCCGCCACTCCTCCACTAATCTTACGCCTTTTCAGTGTGTGCTGGGTTATCAGCCGGTCCTGGCACCCTGGCATCAGAGCCAGATCGAAGCCCCTGCGGTGGATGAGTGGTTTCGGCGCTCGGAGGAAACATGGAACGCTGCGCATGTCCATCTGCAGCGGGCTATTAGATGGCAAAAGGCGAGTGCCGATCGCCACCGCAGTGAGGCTCCGGTTTATGCACCGGGAGATCGGGTCTGGCTCTCGACCCGAAACCTGCCCCTCGGTTTGTGGGGCCATTTAAAGTCCTGAGGAGAATGAACGAGGTATGTTATAGGTTACAACTGTCCATTAATTACCGCATTAACCACTCGTTCCATGTGTCTCTCCTCAGGCCGGTGGTAGCTGGTCCACTCCAGGAGAATGAGATACGAGAGGCTCCTCCGCCCCCACTAGACATCGAGGGGGCTCCGGCGTACTCAGTCCGTTCCATCGTGGATTCGAGGCGTCGGATGGGGGGTCTGCAGTATCTCGTGGAGTGGGAGGGGTACGGTCCGGAGGAACGGTGCTGGGTCCCTAGGAGGGACATCCTAGATCCGTCCCTGTTGAGGGATTTCCACCGGAGTCATCCGACTCGCCCTGCTCCGCGTCCTCCTGGCTGTCACGGATTCAGCCGAGGCTGCTCCTCCTCCTTGCTCGGGCAGGCTTCGGCGTTCGTCGTCCCCGGAGTACTAGCTGCTGCCGATCGATGTTTCGGTGTTTGTCTTGTTTGGTCTTTATTGTTTACACCTGTTTCCCATTATGTTGGATTGTATTCCCTATATTACCCCCTCTCTCTCATTGGTTATTTTGTGTGTTATTGTTCGTTTGTCATTCCGGCAGTTTCTTGTATGTACGGGTCTTTGTGTTTTCCTCCCTGTTTGGAGGTTTGTTGTTTTTGTACGTTTATTTTACTGTGTTCAGTAAAGAACGTTGCCAGCCGCTCTGTGTCCTGCATTTGACTTCGCTAACCGCATACACGTCGCCTGACAGGATCACACCGTTGGGAGTGAACATCTTGAAGCTTCAGATAAGGACCTGGGGCCAGATTGACTAGGACACTTTTACAATAGTGGTGGAAAAGTTTGCAACTGCAATGGTTTGAAAGATAAAAGGAAGAGCAAAAGTTAAAGTAAATATTGGATGAGGGATAAGAATTAAGAGGTGCAAATGCTTTTTAAATAACTTACGAAAGCATTAAACTCAATCTTTTTGCCAGATAAAAATGATTTTGTTCATAGTTTAATTTCGGATTGGTCTTAAATTTAATTTCCAAAAACGTTATGATAAAACAAAATGAACAAAGTACATACATGTGGGTCAATTGTTTGAGTGGTTCAAACATCCTTCGTTGTATGTTCCCAATCTCGATTCCCTCTATGCTCCTAAAAAACACAAACAAAAGTTGTTCCCCTTAGGAGCTCACATAGAAAAACAAAATATTTGAATTTCAGAGACCCTCTTTGCAACATTCTTTCCCCAAAATTGTTGGTCTTTTACACATTTGTTTGGTGGGGGAAGCTTTGATGTTTGACCTAAAATGCTATTTGTTGTCTTTCCTGATATGTGTGAATAAGGGAATTCCTCATGTATGGGCCAGTAAGTGCACTCTGTTCCAATAGGATAACACATAAAACACTGCATGTTATGTAGCCACATAATTGTCTTGTATGATAAAAGGGTGCACATTGGAAGGTCACGTGCCTTTGTTCTGGGGATGATGCAAGCTATGATTGTATATGAAATTGCATGGAGTAGATCATGGATTTCTAGTTAGTCTGAAAGGGCCACAGAAAGGGATGTATAGAGAAGATGTACTACCTCTACACAACTTCCCTTTATCAATCTCTCATGCTTGCCTAATTGTTAATTTTTTATTATTATGTACATTTAATTTAAATGGCCCCTTGCATATTTACTAGAACTATATATATTTTTTAAACATGGTATTACTACTGATGGGTAGCACTTTATAATAACTCCACATAATCAAGCATTAATAATGGATTAGTAAATAGTTAATCATTTATTAATCATTACTCCCACATTTGTTCATGTTAGGTAGCTAGTTATTCACACATTTATAATTTTTTTAAAAAGTAGGCTATGTAATAATGATTCATAAGATGTTTAATATAGGTCCTTAAACCATTTACCAATCATTAGTAAAGTATGTTTGCGTGGTCTCATCTAAAGTGAGGGCTATTTATACTTTGTTTCAAGTGACCAGTTAAATTTCTCACAAAAAGATGGATATGCCATTGGTAGACATTCCAGCAGTACCTAATGCTCATTAAGGTCGCAAAATGGACCCTAGAACATATTAATGGTTAAACAATAAGCATACAATACAGAGGATGTGTACCCCTTTCCTGCAGTCGAATGACCAAAGCAACCTCTAGTGGCCTCATGGGTGGAGGGAGTGTTATTAGAATTTAAAAGAAAACACAGAACATCCATGTCAAAAGATTTTGTTATATTTCAGTCTTCTGTGATGTACAGTACCAGTCAAAAGTTTGGACACACCTACTCATTCAAGGGTATTTCTTTATTTTTACTATTTTCTACATTGCAGAATAATAGTGAAGACATCAAAACTATGAAATAACACATATGGAATCATGTAGTAACCAAAAACGTGTTAAACAAATCCAAATATATGTTATATTTTATATTCTTCAAAGTAGCCACCCTTTCCCTTGATGACAGCTTTGCACACTCTTGGCATTCTCTCAACCAGCTTCACCTGGAATGCTTTTCCAACAGTCTTGAAGGAGTTCCCACATGCTGAGCATTTGTTGGCTGCTTTTCCTTCACTCTGCGGTCCAACTCATTCCAAACCATCTCAATTGGGTTGAGGTCAGGTGATTGTGGAGGCCAGGTCATCTGATGCAGCACTCCATCACTCTCCTGTTTGGTCAAATAGCCCTTACACAGCCTGGAGCAGTGTTGGGTCATTGTCCTGTTGAAAAACAAAAGAGAGTCCCACTAAGCCCAAACCAGATGGGATGGCGTATCGCTGCAGAATGCTGTGGTAGCCATGCTGTTTAAGTGTGCCTTGAATTCTAAATAAATCACTGACAGTGTCACCAGCAACGCACCCCCACACCATCACACCTTCTCCTCCATGCTTCACGGTGGGAACCACACATGCGGAGATCATCCGTTCACCTACTCTGCGTCTCACAAAGACACAGCGGTTGGAACCAAAAATCTAAAATGTTGACTCATCAGACCAACGGACAGATTTCCACCAGTCTAATGTCAATTGCTCGTGCTTCTTGGCCCAAGCAAGTCTCTTCTTCTTACTGGTGTCCTTTAGTAGTGGTTTCTTTGCAGCAATTTGACCATGAAGGCCTGATTCACGCAGTCTCCTCTGAACAGTTGATTTTGAGATGTGTCTGTTACTTGAACTCTGTGAAGCATTTATTTGGGCTGCAATTTCTGAGGCTGGTAACTCTATTGACCTCATCCTCTGCAGCAGAGGTAACTCTGGGTCTTCCTTTCCTGTGGCGGTCCTCATGAGAGCCAGTTTCATCATAGCGCTTGATGGTTTTTGTGACTTTACTTGAAGAAACTTTCAAAGTTCTTGAAATGTTCCGGATTGACTGACCTTCATGTCTTAAAGTAATGATGGACTGTCGTTTCTCTTTGCTTATTTGAGATGTTCTTGCCATAATATGGACTTGGTATTTTACCAAATAGGGCTATCTTCTGTATACCACCCCTACCTTGTCACAACACAACTGATTGGCTTAAACGCATTAAGAAAGAAAGAAATTCCACAAATTAACTTTTAACAAGGCACACCTGTTAATTGAAATGCATTCCAGGTGACTAACTCATGAAGCTGGTTGAGAGAATGTCAAGAGTGTGCAAAGCTGTCATCAAGGCAAAGGGTGGCTACTTTGACGAATATAAAATATATTTTGATTTGTTTAACACTTTTTTTTTGGTTACTACATGATTCCATATGTGTTATTTCATAGTTTTTTACAATGTAGAAAATAGTAAAAATAAAGAAAAACCCTGGAATGAGTAGGTGTGTCCAAACTTTTGACTGGTACTGTATATAAAGTGTAATATTGGGATGCAAACACAAAATTGAACAATATTTCAACTCTATATCTGACATGGTAAAGGTGTCTTCTTTTTTTAAGCCCATAACCATACTTTTGTTTCAAAGTAGATTTGTTTAAGACAAGAAACACTCTGTGTGACCCTGATTTAGCCCAATGTAGTAAAAGGTTTTAAGAAAATATATTGAGCATTTTATTCCAAAACAGCCACACTGTTGTAATAGTATGATGTGTGACTATGCTGAGTGAAGTGCTAACATTAGTAGAGTTGCATTCTTATGCTTAGTTTGGCAATGCTAGTCCCTGTGTATTTTGCTTTGTTAGGTATCCAATGTTGGCTAACTAGCTAGCTGTGCTAATTTGCTATTGTTGTAGAAAGCCCTTGTTGATACTAGCCAGATGGCCACAGCTAGATAACTAGCTAGCAAGATGACAAAGGAACAATTTAATTAACTCTCCATAATCCCATACTGCCAGTGCCAGCCCAAATATACAGTGGGGAGAACAAGTATTTGATACACTGCCGATTTTGCAGGTTTTCCTACTTACAAAGCATGTAGAGGTCTGTAATTTTTATCATAGGTACACTTCAACTGTGAGAGACGGAATCCAGAAAATCACATTGTATGATTTTTAAGTAATTAATTTGCATTTTATTGCATGACATAAGTATTTGATACATCAGAAAAGCAGAACTTTAAAATTTGGTACAGAAACCTTTGTTTGCAATTACAGAGATCATACGTTTCCTGTAGGTCTTGACCAGGTTTGCACACACTGCAGCAGGGATTTTGGCCCACTCCTCCATACAGACCTTCTCCAGATCCTTCAGGTTTCGGGGCTGTCACTGGGCAATACGGACTTTCAGCTCCCTCCAAAGATGTTCTATTGGGTTCAGGTCTGGAGACTGGCTAGGCCACTCCAGGACCTTGAGATGCTTCTTACGGAGCCACTCCTTAGTTGCCCTGGCTGTGTGTTTCGGGTGGTTGTCAAGCTGGAAGATCCAGCCACGACCCATCTTCAATGCTCTTACTGAGGGAAGGTGGTTGTTGGCCAAGATCTCGCGATACATGGCCCCATCCATCCTCCCCTCTATACGGTGCAGTCGTCCTGTCCCCTTTGCAGAAAAGCATCCCCAAAGAATGATGTTTCCACATCCATGCTTCACGGTTGGGATGGTGTTCTTGGGGTTGTACTCATCCTTCTTCTTCCTCCAAACTCGGCGAGTGGAGTTTAAGACCAAAAAGCTCTATTTTTGTCTCATCAGACCACATGACCTTCTCCCATTCCTCCTCTGGATCATCCAGATGGTCATTGGCAAACTTCAGACGGGCCTGGACATGTGCTGGCTTGAGCAGGGGGACCTTGCGTGCCCTGCAGGATTTTAATCCATGACGGCGTAGTGTGTTACTAATGGTTTTCTTTGAGACTGTGGTCCCAGCTCTCTTCAGGTCATTGACCAGGTCCTGCTGTGTAGTTCTGGGCTGATCCCTCACCTTCCTCATGATCATTGATGCCCCACGAGGTGAGATCTTGCATGGAGCCCCAGACCGAGGGTGATTGACCGTCATCTTGAACTTCTTCTATTTTCTAATAATTGCGCCAACAGTTGTTGCCTTCTCACCAAGCTGCTTGCCTATTGTCCTGTAGCCCAACCCAGCCTTGTGCAGGTCTACAATTTTATCCCTGATGTCCTTACACAGCTCTCTGGTCTTGGCCATTGTGGAGAGGTTGGAGTCTGTTTGATTGAGTGTGTGGACAGGTGTCTTTTATACAGGTAACTAGTTCAAACAGGTGCAGTTAATACAGGTAATGAGTGGAGAACAGGAGGGCTTCTTAAAGAAAAACTAACAGGTCTGTGAGAGCTGGAATTCTTACTGGTTGGTAGGTGATCAAATACTTATGTCATGCAATAAAATGCAAATTAATTACTTAAAAATCATACAATGTGATTTTCTGGATTTTTGTTTTAGATTCCGTCTCTCACAGTTGAAGTGTACCTATGATAAAAATTACAGACCTCTACATGCTTTGTAAGTAGGAAAACCTGCAAAATCGGCAGTGTATCAAATACTTGTTCTCCCCGCTGTATATATATAAGATGTTGTGCAAGCTAGCGAATAAAAAATTATATATATATATATTTCTTTTTTTATTCGCTAGCTTGCACAACATATTTTTTCCTTTTTGTCGTCACTCCTGTCAGCTCTCCCACTTGGAGGTTCATGACCTCTGATTGGCTTTAAGTCAAGTTGTCGGCCACTGAGGAGCATTGCGATTCTACAAGTAGAAATGGCAGGTTCGTCAGGTATGCAGCAGGTACGTCTTTTGTTCTAGCAAGAGAAGGAACGGCCTCCTACTGTAATGAGTACTTATCGGCAGTCAGATTCTCAGTGTGTTTCATGGTTTAGAGCAGTCCATAGACTGCTTACGAGGTAAGGAAACAAATACACTGAATCACCAAAAGTATGTGGACACCTGCTCGTCGAACATCTAATTCCAAAATCATGGGCATTAATATGGAGTTGGTCCCCCCTTTACTGCTATAACTGCCTCCACTCTTCTGGGAAGGCTTTCCACTAGATGTTGGAACATTGCTGCGGTGACTTGCTTCCATTCAGCCACAAGAGCATTAGGGAGGTTGGGCACTGATGTTGGGCGATTAGGCCTGGCTCGCAGTCTGCGTTCCAATTCATCCCAAAGGTGTTCGATGGGGTTGAGGTCAGGGCTCTGTGCAGGCCAGTCATGTTCTTCCACACCGATCTCGACAAACCATTTCTGTATGGACCTCGCTTTGTGCACGTGGGCATTGTCATGCTGAAACAGGAAAGGGCCTTCCCCAAACTGTTCCCACAAAGTTCCCTTCAATGGAACTAAGGGGCCGAGCCCGAACCATGAAAAACAGCCCCAGACCATTATTCCTCCTTCACCAAACTTTACAGTTAGCACTATGCATTCGGGAAGGTAGCATTCTCCTGGCATCCACCAAAACCAGATTCGTCCGTCGGACTGCCAGATGGTGAAGCATGATTCATTACTCCAGAGAACGCGTTTCCACTGCTCTAGAGTCCAATGGCAGTGAGCTTTACACCACTCCAGCCAACGCTTGGCATTGCGCATGGTGATCTTAGGCTTGTGTGCGGCTGCTCAGCCATGGAAACCCATTTCATGAAGCTCCCAACGAACAGTTCTTGTGCTGACGTTGCTTCCAGGGGCAGTTTGGAACTAGGTAGTGAGTATTGCAACCGAGGACAGACGATTTTTACGCGCTTCAGCACTCTGCGGTCCCATTCTGTGAGCTTGTGTGGCCTACAACTTAACGGCTGAGCCGTTGTTGACCTAGACGTTTCCACTTCACAATAACAGCACTTACAGTTGACCGGGGCAGCACTAGCAGGGCCGAAGTCCACATACTTTTGTATATATAGTGTATCTAAATACATTATTTTGCTGAACTAGCCAAGAGTTACTACCTTCAAATATTATTAAAGGCCCAGTAAAAATGCCGCCAAACAAAGCAAAGTGTGAAAATAGTTAAATGGTTAAAACACTGACGCACTGGAAACATTTAAAGGTTATACATGTAACATATTTATACCTGAATCACATATCAGTAGTAATGAAGGAATAAAAATCTACTAGAGAAAAACTGGCCGGTCCAGCCTAATGTTGTGTGTGAGGGTACATCTCCCTGTTTTATGATTAGTTTGCATTTGCGAGGTTGACATTAGACATTCACAAATAAGAATTTGTTCTTAACTGACTTGCCTAGTTAAATAAAGGTTAAATAAAAAAAAATAAAAAAAATAATTGCAACTCTTCCTTACGTCCTTGCAACAGTTGTTTTACAACAGTTTTTGTGAATAAAATGTTAATAAATATTTCCTTAAACATCCTGTGTTGTGTGCTTATTCTTTTACCATTTTGAGACCTTAAAGAGCATCAGGTACTGCTGGAATGTCTACCAATGTGAGAAATTACACTGGTAATTCAAAAGTATCTCAGCATGGACACCAAATTAGCATAATAATTAAGAAACATGAACGTTTAAGCTATGGTACCTCCATGGAAAGAGGAGACTCTCACGAACAAGAACATGTTGGTTGTTTTGCTCAAAGATGCCCACAAGCCTCACAAGCCTCATCTGAAGGTAACATGGTACCAGTTTATTTTAAAATATGGAAGTATACACTCACCGGCCAGTTTATTAGCTACACCACCCCGTTCAGAAAAATGGATCGCTCCTACAGACAGTGAGTCACGTTGCCATGGCTTGCTATGTAAAGCAGGCATACAGGCATCAAGGCATTCAGTTACGGTTTGATTGAATGTTAGAAAGTTACGGTTTTGATTGAATGTTTTTTTTTTTATCAATGTGTGAATAACTAGCTTACTAACATTAACACGTGGGTGTAATGATTCATAAATGATAAACAAACTATTTACTAAACCATTATAAATGCCTTATTACAAGGTGTTATTATAAAGTGCTACCCTACTGATGCTTTTCCCTCTCAAGTGTAACATTCATGCACAAAGTGAGCAGTAAAACAAACATAAAGGTTACTTACAATGATTTCAATTTATGCAAGTTATCAAAGTGGTCAACTTGGAGATCCACGATAGGGTTATACGAGATGTTCCTAAAAAACATGTAAAAGTATTGACATCAGAGCTCCAATAACAGCATCAATTATAAGACATAATATTCAACGATAACTATAGCATAACATATTCAAAGAATGTGCATATAGCAGAGTGTGGATCTGACTCACAGTTGTAGTAAATCTCCCAGATGAACAAAGAGATTGGGAGGGATTGCCACGAGTCTGTTGCTGGACAGATCTCTGTGTAGACAAAGCTATTTACTGGAAACAAACTATAAGAACCATTTATACCACGGCATTGTTGAATACTCATTTCCGATTGTCCAGAAGTGCATTCTAGAATGGGCATTAAAACCAGATAATGGACAGTTGGAAAAGATATTGGGACACCTTGGAATCATGACGCAATATGCGCCTACACATGCAGACCGTACTTGCTACAAAGATACAGAAAGCTAAACCAACAACTGCACAAACCAAAATTGGATACATTGTAAACGCAGGTCCAACGATGAAAAACATAGCTAGCTAACATTGATTTGTTTTTGCAGAGAGATATATTTTTGGAGCATCTGATGACCTAAAATGGTGAGTGATGAACATGACTTTCTCTGGTCCTTACTGTTGCAGTCATGACGCAAGTGGCGTTACGCTGTCAAATCCTCCCACGTTTCTAGTTTGACCAGCTGTTTTCAGCAACTTTTATTTTTTTATTCAGTTGTCATATTGGCAGCTAGCAACAAACTATTTAGCTAGCTTCTAGCCTAGTGTTTGATATGCAGTACGATCTCCTCGTAATGAACAGTGTCGAGTGTCCTGACGAGAAGGCAAACCTTTCTAGCTATGCCACGCAAAATTGGGCATTATCAGCTCATTGTTATGGATGTATCTAAATGAATGTCAATAGAAAACAGCTTAAACAAACACATATGCAGCTAGTTTGCTGTTATTCTGGCTGTAGGGGTCGTGACTGTGTTAGCCATAGCTAGTTGGCGAGCTAGCAAGCAAGGGATAAGAACGTTGCCAGCGAGCATGGCAACGGAACATATACAGTTGAAGTCGGAAGTTTACATACACCTTAGCTAAATACATTTAAACTCAGTTTTTCACAATTCCTGACATTTAATCCTAGAAAAAATGTCCTGTCTTAGGTCAGTTAGGATCACCACTTTATTTTAAGAATGTGAAATGTCAGAATAATAGTAGAGAGAATGATTTATTTCAGCTTTTATTTATTTCATCACATTCCCAGTGGGTCAGAAGTTTACACACACTCAATTAGTATTTGGTAGCATTGCCTTTAAATTGTTTAACTTGGGTCAAACGTTTTGGGTAGCCTTCCACAAGCTTCCCACAATAAATTGGGTGAATTTTGGCCCATTCCTCCTGACAGAGCAGGTGTAACTGAGTGAGGTTTGTAGGCCTCCTTGCTCGCACACGCTTTTTCAGTTCTGCCCACTGATTTTGTATAGGATTGAGGTCAGGGCTTTGTGATGGCCAATCCAATACCTTGACTTTGTTGTCCTTAAGCCATTTTGCCACAACTTTGGAAGTATGCTTGGGGTCATTGTCTATTTGGAAGACCCATTTGCGACCAAGCTTTAACTTCCTGACTGATGTCTTGAGATGTTGCTTCAATATATCCACATCATTTTCCTTCCTCATGATGCCATCTATTTTGTGAAGTGCACCAGTCCCTCCAGCAGCAAAGCACCCCCACAGCATGATGCTGCCACCCCCGTGCTTCATGGTTGGGATGGTGTTCTTCGGCTTGCAAGCTACCCCCTTTTTTCTCCAAACATACAATGGTCATTATGGCCGAACAGTTCTATTTTTGTTTAATCAGACCAGAGGACATTTCTCCAAAAAGTACGATCTTTGTCCCCATGTGCAGTTGCAAACCGTAGTCTGGCTTTTTTATGGTGGTTTTGGAGCAGTGGCTTCTTCCTTGCTGAGCAGCCTTTCAGGTTATGTCAACATAGGACTTGTTTTACTGTGGATATAGATACTTTTGTACCTGTTTCCTCCAGCATCTTCACAAGGTCCTTTGCTGTTGTTCTGGGATTGATTTGCACTTTTCGCACCAAAGTACATTCATCTCTAGGGGTCAGAAAGCGTGTCCTTCTTGAGCGGTATGACGGCTGCATGGTCCCATGATGTTTATACTTGCTTACTATTGTTTGTACAGATGAAAGTGGTACCTTCAGGCGTTTGGAATTGCTCCCAAGGATGATCCAGACTTGTGGAGGTCTACAATTATTTTTCTGAGGTCTTGGCTGATTTCTTTTGATTTTCCCATGATGTCAAGCAAAGAGGCACTGTGTTTGAAGGTAGGCCTTGAAATACATCCACAGGTACACCTCCAATTGACTCAAATGATGTAAATTAGCCTATCAGAAGCTTCTAAAGACTTGACATCATTTTCTGGAATTTTCCAAGCTGTTTAAAGGCACAGTCAACTTAGTGTATGTAAACTTCTGACCCACTGGAATTGTGATACAGTGAATTATAAGTGACATAATCTGTCTGTAAACAATTGTTGGAAAGATTACTTGTGTCATGCACAAAGTATATGTCCTAACCGACTTGCCAAAACTATAGTTTGTTAACAAGAAATTTGTGGAGTGATTTTGCAGGTTTTCCTACTTACAAAGCATGTAGAGGTCTGGATTTTTATCATAGGTACACTTCAACTGTGAGAGACGGAATCTAAAACAAAAATCAAACAGACTCCAACCTCTCCACAATGGCCAAGACCAGAGAGCTGTGTAAGGACATCAGGGATAAAATTGTAGACCTGCACAAGGCTGGGATGGGCTACAGGACAATAGGCAAGCAGCTTGGTGAGAAGGCAACAACTGTTGGCGCAATTATTAGAAAATGGAAGAAGTTCAAGATGACGGTCAATCACCCTCGGTCTGGGGCTCCATGCAAGATCTCACCTCGTGGGGCATCAATGATCATGAGGAAGGTGAGGGATCAGCCCAGAACTATATGGCAGGACCTGGTCAATGACCTGAAGAGAGCTGGGACCACAGTCTCAAAGAAAACCATTAGTAACACACTACGCCGTCATGGATTAAAATCCTGCAGGGCACGCAAGGTCCCCCTGCTCAAGCCAGCACATGTCCAGGCCCGTCTGAAGTTTGCCAATGACCATCTGGATGATCCAGAGGAGGAATGGGAGAAGGTCATGTGGTCTGATGAGACAAAAATATAGCTTTTTGGTCTAAACTCCACTCGCCGAGTTTGGAGGAAGAAGAAGGATGAGTACAACCCCAAGAACACCATCCCAACCGTGAAGCATGGAGGTGGAAACATCATTCTTTGGGGATGCTTTTCTGCAAAGGGGACAGGATGACTGCACCGTATTGAGTGGAGGATGGATGGGGCCATGTATCGCGAGATCTTGGCCAACAACCTCCTTCCCTCAGTAAGAGCATTGAAGATGGGTCGTGGCTGGGTCTTCCAGCATGACAACCACCCGAAACACACAGCCAGGGCAACTAAGGAGTGGCTCCGTAAGAAGCATCTCAAGGTCCTGGAGTGGCCTAGCCAGTCTCCAGACCTGAACCCAATAGAACATCTTTGGAGGGAGCTGAAAGTCCGTATTGCCCAGCGACAGCCCCGAAACCTGAAGGATCTGGAGAAGGTCTGTATGGAGGAGTGGGCCAAAATCCCTGCTGCAGTGTGTGCAAACCTGGTCAAGACCTACAGAAAACGTATGATCTCTGTATTTGAAACAAAGGTTTCTGTACCAAATATTAAGTTCTGCTTTTCTGATGTATCAAATACTTATGTCATGCAATAAAATGCAAATGAATTACTTAAAAATCATATGATGTGATTTTCTGGATTTTTGTTTTAGATTCCGTCTCTCACAGTTGAAGTGTACCTATGATAACAATTACAGACCTCTACATGCTTTGTAAGTAGGAAAACCTGCAAAATCGGCAGTGTATCAAATACTTGTTCTCCCCACTGTACTTTTTTATTATATATATACCGGTAAATGAGTGCTTTAGTATTGTTTTCTTTGGCAACTGTTGTATAAGCAGTATAAACGCCTCCGTTCTGTACATTACCTTGGAAATAATGGGCAATGCAGCGGGACGAGGCGGAGCCAAGTCCCTTTGTGGAGTTCATTTTTCCAAGGTAATGTACAGAACGGAGACATTTATCCATTACATATATGAAACTTACACAAGGTTTACATGGCTTACATGACCACCTGTTCTGCAAATCCGGAAACCAGTGGAAATGCATGTCAGAATAATTGTTAGAATTAACCAAAACTCATGAAATATAAATCATAATGAACATCTTCTTGGCCTGGGAACATGTTGTATATTTATAGTGCAGTCTGAACTGATTATATGGTATTATCTGAATTCTTCAAAAAGTCAGTGGAATAGGTGAAGATGTGCAGTATCACTGTGTCTGGGTATTTCTGAGGCATACAAAACATAACAACTTACAATTCCCCAAGTTTCTGTAGAAATGAGAACGCCTGTTCATGTATGTGACTGATTCTGTTACTCTGTAGGACACTAGAAAGAGTTAAGGAAAGAATTATAAAACAGACAAAGACATTTTCTCACTTTATTCCCCTCATCTTCTTTGTTGGTTCTAAAAGCAATTAAACAAGATTGTTGTTTTGGGGTCCACTATTTAGAATCCCTTGTGGAAACAAATAGATATTTGGCATTTGAATGGGTTATAGCCAAGGACACAATAACAAAAATGGGGAAAACAAAATCTATTCTAAAGATTGAAAATAATTAAGTCACACTTACAGCACAGTCATCATGTTGCACGACCAGAATGTTACGTTTCCGACACTTTCAATTTGATTTCCCTCCATGTCCCTGGAGACACACAAGTGCACAAAAACATATTTAAAAGTCATATCATGCCGATAACAAAGCTCTTTGATTTGCTGACTTCCAAACTTACAGCCAGTTTAGTCTTGGCATTTCCAGGCAGATGTCATCCAGCTTTGTCAGAGCGTTGTTCAACAAAACCCTGCGAACAAAAACATCAAAACAAGAGAGGTCAGATTTTTGTGCCATTCAAAGAAACAACACTCGCTGACAATATGCTTTAGCATATCACATTGGCCCTTAATAATACTGGGGCACTTCAATAAAGTGCATATGAAAGCATAGCCGCGGGAAGTAGTTTTGGGGGTGGGGGTGCTGGTGCTGGAATATTTTATTTTGCCAGCTGGGGGGGGGGGGGGGGGGGGTTGGGCTGATTGTCTCTATTAAAAAATTTTTGTACAGCACTAGTAAAGGCAATACTTTAGTGATTTTTTTATTTGATTTTTTTAAATAAATACAAATAATAATAATGATTTTATTTTTATTTATTTTTTCAGGGGGTGAAGCAGCACCCTTCAGCACCCCTACTTCCCACTGCTATGTATGAAATAACTTATTAGATGGAAAAAGCAAAAGCCCAACTCAAGAAGGTAAGGGTAGAAATGAAACTCACAGGAGTACCAAGGAACGCAAGCCTGAAAAGGTCATGGGGGATATCTCATGGATACTGTTGTTTTCAAGGATCCTACAACCAAAGGGTAGAGTTTATTTTCAGCTCACTTAATAAATTAAGTATTTGGTTGAACATTGGTTTAAAGGAAACTGCAGCGACACAAGCTTTATGCGAGAGTTCTGAAGGCTGTCTAAAAATGTAGTCTTTGTACGCATTTGTTAGCAGTATGTCTTGCAAACAGGATATACAGAATGTGCCAGTTAGGGAAACCTACAACCACTCCAGTTTGTGTAGATCTTGGAACACCCCGGGCATCAGGATGGATATCTTGTTGTAGCTTAAATATCTGGGGCAGAAAATACTAATTTGAAATATGCACAGTTCACTGATACAATTCATAGGAATTATTTACCCTTTATTTCAAACATAAGCAACTTTGATAAGGAAAACTTAAATCAACAAAATTCATTATAAAGTCCAACATAACACGGTCAAGTGCACGGATGGATGGATGAATATAATGAACTTACAGTCTTGTTAGATTGTATAGTCCTCTGAATGCGTTAGGGCTCACAGCTCGAATTCTGTTATGTTGTAAATATCTGAAAAGTAGTACGTTAGAAGTATGTTAAAAAATATATTGTTTAAAATAACATTGGCTGTGTCCAAAATATGTACTACTTACTAAATACTAATAGTACTACATACTATTTAAAACGCTTTGTTTAGCAAAAACGTATGCAGTAAGCAACAAATATCAACAATCCATACTGAGAAGTATGTGCAATTGCGCTTCTAATGCACAATAGCGCTTGTTCCCTGCCATTTGTATATTTTTGTAAAGCACCCCTATTTTGATTATCCGCTGTTGTCAAAATACGTGAGTGTGAAATGACAATTCTCAATAGTGTGCATCGACTTCTACTTGATGAAAAGCCGAAATGAGTATGACATCCTGGCATTTAAAGCCTACTATTAAGAATGCAAGGACAGGTATTCGGACACGGCCATAGTCTTATATTCATTTGTGTGTTGAGGAGAACAATTGTCACGATGACAAACAAGTGAAAAATGAGTTACAACAAGTATAGAAGCCTCACATGTATACATTAAATACCTAAATATAAACGGGTCCCTGTAGAACAACAAAATAAAAATACCAATTGGTACATACTTTTATGGTATGTGGTTTGATAACAGTTTTTTTAGAAGAAGAAAATTACCCAAACAATACTGCATAGCTGACTTTATTCTATAGATAGTTATTGGCAGTCAATGAGGCATGTTTTTAGTCTCCTCATCATGCTACTACTTCCATGCTGCCAATATGTTTCAAGGCCAATGTGATCCAGACTACTGCATTTGGGGCCACGGGGCACCTACCTCCAGAGGCACCCCCTCCTGTGCTGTTTTATAGCTTACCCTATTTTTTATTTATTTATTATTATTATTTTTTTTAATGGTGGGGGTGGGGGAGGGGGGGTAGAAGGATTACTGTTATACTATTCCAGGTATTCTTTAAAGAGGTAGGGTTTCAAGTGTCTCTGGAAGGTGGTCAGTGACTCCAGGACAGCGTAGTCACTGACCACCTTCCGGAGACACTTGAAACCCTACCTCTTTAAGGAATACCTGGAATAGTATAACAGTAATCCTTCTACGACTTAGTATCTCATTCAAATTTACTCTTTTTTTTTTTTTTTTTACGAAGTCGTTCAAACGAGATACTAAGTCGTTCAAACCAGATAATTCCAATAGTCTATTATATATTTTTTGCCTTGCGCTTCAGGGCATTTTGTACAAAACGTGTAGAATAGCAGGAAATGAACTGCAATATGTCCTCTCATCCTCATGGCAAAATGTGAAGAAGAGCATGAAATTTAACATTTAAGTCATTTAGCAGACGCTCTTATCCAGAGTCCGAATTAGTGTCTCGTTTGAACGACTTAATTGTTATTTTGTCTAATTAGGCCTCATTTGTAATGCAGCTTGTCAGACCATATAATGGTTGCTGCAGCCATTCATTCACTGATTCCTTCCATTGATATGATTATTCATTGCCAGTTCTTTGTCAGCCTAAAGCAGGGCTGCTTTTAGGGCCAGGACGTTTTTTTTTTTAAAGCAAAAATGTAAACACGAAGCAGACCAAACACTTTGGTCCTTTAAAAACCTGCTGTATGTCAAATATTGTGTGCTATAGCATGGAAAATAAATACATGTGACTCTGGATGTCAACATAATGATGTTTGTTTCCAACATTAGGGCTGTTTTCCTGAAGAAGTTAAATCCGCCTCGTGTTTTGTTTCCTTGCCATGACACTGAGTATTGCGATACTGGTATTGTTCTGCCACTAGCTGCTTTTGAATGCCAGAGCATGTAAGTGGGCGAGTGTGGAGCGAGGAGCACAGTGTAATTCGAGCAGATAAAACAAATTGTGTCGACCTTCTCTTTAAAATACACTGAGATTAAGCCTCCCCTGTGTGTGGATTCTATAAAAATCAAAAATACAGAGATTTCGTAGTGTCTATTGTGCTAAAATATATATATATATATATATATATATATATATTCGACAAAGAAACCAAGTAGGCGGCCAGTATGGTGCAATAAACTTGAGTGAACTATTTACAGAAAATGCAGTGCCTTCGGAAAGTATTCAGACCTTTTCACTTTTTCCACATTTTGTTAGGTTACAGCCTTATTCTAAAATTGATTAAATTGTTTTTTTCCCCTCATCAATATACACACAACACCTCATAATGAAATTGTTGCTAATGTATTACAAATAAAAAACTGAAATATCACATTTACATAAGTATTCAGACCTTTTACTCAGTACTTTGTTGAAGCACCTTTGGCTAGGATTACAACCTCAAGTCTTCTTGGGTATGACGCTACAACCTTGGCACACCTGTATTTGGGGTGTTTCTCCCATTCTTCTTTGCAGATCCTGTCAAGCTCTGTCAGGTTGGATGGGGAGCGTTGCTGCACAGCTATTTTCAGGTCTCTCCAGAGATGTTCTATCGGGTTCAAGTCCGGGTTCTGGCTGGGCCCCTCAAGGACATTTAGAGACTTGTCCCGAAGCCACTCCTGTGTTGTCTTGGCTGTGTGCTTAGGGTCGTGTCCTGTTGGAAGGTGAACCTTCGCCCCCAGTCGGAGGTCCTGAGTGCTCTGGAGCAGGTTTTCATTAAGGGTCTCTCTGTACTTTGCTCCGTTCATCTTTGCCTCGATCCTGACTAGTCTCCCAGTCCCTGCTGCTGAAAAACATCCCCACAGCATGATGCTGCCACCACCATGCTTCACCGTAGGGATGGTGCCAGGTTTACTCCAGACGTGACTCTTGTCAATCAGTTCAATCTTGGTTTCATCAGACCAGAGAATCTTGTTTCGCGTGGTCTGAGAGTCCTTTAGGTGCCTTTTGGCAAACTCCAAGCGGGCTGTCATGTGCCTTTTACTGAGGAGCGACTTCCGTCTGGCCACTCTACCATAAAGGCCTGATTGGTGGAGTTCTGCAGAGATGGTTGTCCTTCTGGAAGGTTCTCCCATCTCCACAGAGGAACTCTAGAGCTCTGTCAGAGTGACCATCGGGTTCTTGGTCACCTCCCTGACCAAGGCCCTTCTCCCCCGATTGCTAAATTTGGCCAGGTGGCCAGCTCTAGGAAGAGTCTTGGTGGTTCCAAACTTCTTCCATTTAAGAATGATGGAGGCCACTGTGTTCTTGGTGACCTTCAATGCTGCAGAAACGTTTTCGTTCCCTTCCCCAGATCTGTGCCTCGACACAATCCTGTCTCGGAGCTCTATGGACAATTCCTTCGACCTCATGGCTTGGTTTTTGCTCTGACATGCACTGTCAACTGTGGGACCTTATATAGACAGGTGTGTGCCTTTCCAAATCATGTCCAATCAAATGAATTTACCACAGATAGACTCCAATCAAGTTGTAGAAACATCTCAAGTATGATCAATGGAAACAGGATGCACCTGAGCTCAATTTCGAGTCTCATAGCAAAGGGTCTGAATACTTATGTAAATAAGGTATTTCTAAAAAACCTGTGTTCGCTTTGTCATTATGGTGTATTGTGTGTAGATTGCTGAGGAATTTGTTTTATTTAATCCATTTTAGAATAAGGCTGTAACAAAATGTGGAAAAAGTCAAGGGGTCTGAATACTTTCCGAAGGCACTGTATATACAAAATAATACATATAGGATTATACAGCCTGAATATCAGGACGCACAACTGCAACGCTCTTCGACTACTAATTCATACGCACATTGCATCTGAAACTGTTCTTTAGAGATTGCAACCCCTTTGTCTCCAATAAAAGTGTTTTTAGGTCTCCATCTACGTTCAATCCACCTGGGCCTATTGACCAAGCTGTGGATACGTACTACAGACTGGTGCGTATAGACATATCCAATGGTGATATCACCGAAAGAGAACACAGATTATTGGTGCATAATATGAAATCCACGCTGGTAATCTGCAGTCCCTAAAATAAGGGAAAAAAGTATTTGATCCCCTGCTGATTTTGTACGTTTGTCCACTGACAAAGACATGATCAGTCTATAATTTTAATGGTAGGTTTATTTGAACAGTGAGAGACAGAATAACATCAAAAAAATCCAGATAAACGCATGTCAAAAATGTTATAAATTGATTTGCATTTTAATGAGGGAAATAAGTATTTGACCCCCTCTCAATCAGAAAGATTTCTGGCTCCCAGGTGTCTTTTATACAGTTGATGAGCTGAGATTAGGAGCACACTCTTAAAGGGAGTGCTCCTAATCTCAGTTTGTTACCTGTATAAAAGACACCTGTCCACAGAAGCAATCAATCAATCAGATTCCAAACTCTCCACCATGGCCAAGACCAAAGAGCTCTCCAAGTATGTCAGGGACAAGATTGTAGACCTACACAAGGCTGAAATGGGCTACAAGACCATCGCCAAGCAGATTGGTGAGAAGGTGACAACAGTTGGTGCGATTATTCGCAAATGGAAGAAACAAGCAAAAGAACTGTCAATCTCCCTCAGCCTGGGGCTCCATGCAAGATCTCACCTCGTGGAGTTGCAATGATTGTGAGAACGGTGAGGAATCAGCCCAGAACTACACGGGAGGATCTTGTCAATGATCTCAAGGCAGCTGGGACCATAGTCACCAAGAAAACAATTGGTAACACACGCCGTGAAGGACTGAAATCCTGCAGCGCCCGCAAGGTCCACCTGCTCAAGAAAGCACATATACAGGTCCGTCTGAAGTTTGCCAATGAACATCTGAATGATTCAGAAGAGAACTGGGTGAAAGTGTTGTGGTCAGATGAGACCAAAATCAAGCTCTTTGCCATCAACTCAACTCGCCGTGTTTGGAGGAGGAGGAATGCTGCCTATGACCCCAAGAACACCATCCCTACTGTCAAACATGGAGGTGGAAACATTATGCTTTGGGGGTGTTTTTCTGCTAAGGGGACAGGACAACTTCACCGCATCAAAGGGACGATGGACGGGGCCATGTACCGTCAAATCTTGGGTGAGAACCACCTTCCCTCAGCCAGGGCATTGAAAATGGGTCGTGGATGGGTATTCCAGCATGACAATGACCCAAAACACACGGCCAAGGCAACAAAGGAGTGGCTCAAGAAGAAGCACATTAAGGTCCTGGAGTGGCCTAGCCAGTCACCAGACCATAATCCCATAGAAAATCTGTGGAGGGAGCTGAAGGTTCGAGTTGTCAAACGTCAGCCTCGAAACCTTAATGACTTGGAGAAGATCTGCAAAGAGGAGTGGGACAAAATCCCTCCTGGTGGCCAACTACAAGAAATGTCTGACCTCTGTGATTGCCAACAAGGGTTTTGCCACCAAGTACTAAGTCATGCAGAGGGGTCAAATACTTATTTCCCTCATTCATATTGCAAATCAATTTATAACATTTTTGACATGCATTTTTCTGGATTTTTTTGTTGTTATTCTGTCTCTCACTGTTCAAATAAACCTACCATTCAAATGTATAGACTGATCATGTCTTTGTCAGTGGGCAAACGTACAAAATCAGCAGGGGATCAAATAATTTTTTCCCTCACTGTACTTATCTAAATCCCCAAAGGGACAAATCTTCTTTGCGATATCAGACCAGGTTTGGCAGAAGGCATGAAGATCACTGCTCGGCTTCAAATGCCCTGACTGATAAATATGCCCCTATGTATTGTGACACTTTTGTTTACCAAAGACCCCACAATTAGACATTAGTTTAACTTCTTCCCGCTAATAAAAACGACTCCACACAACATTATTGTCCAAATAATCAGACCTCAGACATTTTTTGCCCAGTAGGTGGCTTTTGACTCCTGGTAGCTTGAAGTGTTTGAAATAGCTTAATCGGTCTGCGTCAGCCTGCGCAGAATAGAAAGGTAGTAATCAATGTATTATTATTATTATTATTATTATTACTGCTACTAATGCATGAGGCTATAAAACTGCCACAGCAAGTTGATCCCTGCAATGCAAGGATTTATTTCGCAACCCGTCTGCCAAATCTATCCATGCACGGTTCTCCCTCTCAAGCAGTCCATCTCAAGGATGCTTTCAAATCAATACTTTTTCTTTGCCTTATCATCAAATTAATAGGTTGTTATCATCGGTGCGATTGAAAATCGTATAGCTTACTTATGTTTCAGTAAACCGTTAGCCAACACTTCAAAGATTAAACCAAGTAATAATATAATAATAATATGCTATTTTTTTGCCTTTTATCCAAAGCGACTTACAGTCATGTGTGCATAAATCTTTACATATGGGTGGTCCCGGGGATCGAACCCACTACCCTGGCGTTACAAGCGCCATGCTCTACCAATTGAGCTACTGAGGACCACCAGTGTCATCATGAAAGTTTACTATCTCTTCATTTTAGTTCAGTGATTTAAATGTACTTTTTCCTGTTATGGTAAAACCTTTCAATTGAAGGCCTATCACAAACCTCTTTTTGTAGGTGATTCTGGTAGGCTAATAAAAGCATGTTGTTCGCAGCATAAACCAGCCTATTATCTCTGAAGTTCATTCATTTATTAGTGATGGATCCTTTAACTGTACGTTTAGGCTACTATTAAAGCGCTCACATAGGCTTCTTCTCTGCCAGAGTGTGTGAGATAACTAGTCTTAGCGGTAAGTGTACTCCTGAGTGCGCAGTGTGGTCTAAGCACTGCATCCAGTCTACTGTGCTGAGAGATCCGGTTCGAATCCAGGCTCTGTCGCGCCGCCGCGACCAATCATGGGCGTGCCATTGGCGCGTCGTCCAGGGTAGGGAGGGAGCGGCAGGTTAGCTCATGATATGCATGGCGTTCACGCCAGGTTTGTTCATTCCCACGGGCCAGTATAAAAAAAAAATATGTATCCACGTAGTCGCTCTGATAAGAGCGTCGCAAATGACAAAAGTAAATGTAATGTAGTGTGCTCGCTTCCCAGTATCACTTACTCCAACATTGATTCCACACAATCTAGCTCACAATCAGGACGGCTGGTATTCCTCCAGGGTATGTAGCCTTGTGACACTGTCCTACTGGACTCTGTGCCAGTCCCTACTTAAATGAAATAGATTTTTGAGAAATAGCATCCTCACATGGGGCGGCTTCATTTCAATGCATTTTTCAATTTTAGGCTTTTTAAATATATTCCATTCTCCTTTCTCTTGTTTATATTTTGGCTATAATACCACTTATATTCCTTAATGTAATTTAGCTTTTACGTGTATTTTTTGCCTTTATTATTATAATAATTATAATAATAATAATAATAATAATATTTAATTTGTAGAGCGCATTTCCCACGCTCAATGCACGTGAAGCTTGTTGGTGCTTGCTTCTGTGCACAAATCACTTGACCGCTGCAGTTTGAGATTATTTATTCTCTTTTATTTATGAAATGAAGCTGATACTGGCCTTTATTATTAACGGTTTTGTTCTGATATTTTAACTTCATTAAATAGATTTATATTATGATGTTTCTATTCCAAGATAAACCAAAATACATTTTACAGTAGCCTATGTATTGCCTACCTAAAACATCCGTTAATACATTTGAAGTCCTTCAAAATAAACAACATATCCTAATGTTAGAAAGTCAAATATAATCTAGATATAGGCTACTGTGGGTGGGCAGGCTAAACAATTACAACCGAATAGGCCTAATTAAAAGAATAGTGATAAAGGAAATGAAAAATGCTAGGCAGAGCATGCCCCGAGCTTGTGGCTGAGCAGTACCAGAGCGAAATTGGAGCGGGAGAGAAGGCCGACACCATTTTAAAAATCTGCTCGTATTAAGCTCTGCTCCTTGCTCCACGCTCGCCCACTTACATTCTCTGGCATTCAAAAGCAGCCCTGCTTTATATCAAATAACTTTTCAATGAATAATCATATCAATGATGAAATCAGTGAATGAATGGCTGCAGCAACCATTACATGGTCTGACAAGATGCATAACAAATGGGGCCTATAATGTTTGAACGACTTGATACATTTTGCCATGAGCCTGAGAGAAAATGTGGCAGTTTTAAAGCGAACTCCCTGCAATTCTACATGTTTTGCCATTGCTTATGATGTGTTCATATGCTATCTGGGGGGGGCCCTGACCTCCGGGGGCCCCCAACAACAAAAAAGTATAATACGGTAATCCGGCCTCGAATGTGATGGCACAACAAGATGGACTGAATGATGTGCTGAACAATTGTGAAAGTCTATTTTCCTCACACCATCATCTAAAGGTAAGTCTTGCTGAATTAATGTTAAAAACAGCCAATGTAAGCTTGTTTTGGCCATCACAAGCATCAAAAGGGGACGGAAAATGCTTTGAATTTTGTCCGCGGCTATCAAAGTGGCCTTGAGTGGTTAGTCTATCAGAAAGTGTTTTTGAAGTGCTATCAAAAATATTTTCTGAATGACAAAATGCTTTACTTGCTGACTACAACTTAATCAAGTGACTTCTCTCGCCTGAAGTCATTTTTAAAACGCAATAAATAATTCAACGACAACTTACAGTTTCTGAAGACTCTGGTACTTATAGAATATGTCGCCGTTCAATATCCGGAGTCGGTTCCTTTGCAGGGACCTATGGGATGTGAATAGTTCATAAGGTCAACCAGGTTAAAAAAACCATCATAAACACAACATTGTGCCACCAAACAATACTGTGTGAATTAAAAAAGGCCAAAACCTTTTATTCATTTTAATTACTAGGTTCTCGGCCCATTGTCTGTTTGAGGTTGGAACTAATCACATTTCTATGTGACCACACATTGTCCCGAATACAAACAATCTTCCAATTACATTTGAAATGGAATTGGTGATAGAGCATATCATTATTCCAAACAGAAGGAGCATCTTTCTTTATAGTGTGACAGAGATCATGCATAATTTTGCCATTTTAATCATTATCTAAACTCATTCCACCTCGATTAGCACGGTGACCACGTTTACCCGAGGTTTTGGAGATAAGCTTTAAATTAGCGAAGAAAGGATTTTAATTGAAAGTGAATAATGCGGAGCATGCCGCAGCAGTCTACAGGACCTTGATGAAAGACGAGCCAATTTGAGAAGGAGGAGGCGGCAATGATATGCAATTGGGCTTTCGAGGTTTACCCATCGAGCAAATGAATAGTGAAGTGGAACTGGATGGGGACAGATGAGAAATATAGGGCCCCAATGTGCCATTATCTAAACAATGTGGGGACAATATGACAGGCAGACACACACAATTGTGAGACCAAGTAAGGGCGAGCTCTATGTGATAATTTATAGTCATTGCAGTCATTCTTTTGCATAATGTATGGATTGAAATGATAATGTATATAATATATCCTCCTTTGATAAATTACTTCTGTCATAATGATTTCCTTGTTTTCAGTTTTTCTCACATTACATTAGGCTTCAGTAAAGAAGTTAATGTCTCGTTTTACTCTTCCAATTCAGAAAAATAATGTTCCATTACAGGAGAGAACAGCCCTAAGACTTAAACCAACCTTCACAAACAAACTTCCATCGAGACACTCATTAGCTAAGTGCGAGAAACGCTTGGATAACTGCAAGAGACACTTTCTTTGAATCCTTCTCTTCTAATTCATAGAAGTATCTGCACACTTCCAGTCAGATGCAAATGTGTGTGTTTGTGTGTGTGTGGCAACTCACATCATGGTGACGTTAACGGACACCGCTGGGACATGGTGAAACTGGGCGCCGTCACAGTCTAGCTCCAGGTCTCTGCACTGGCACAGCTCTGGAACGGCCACCAGCACTGGATGAGGAAGAGACAAGATAGAGGGAAGAATGGTATTAATGACTGACGCACATCCACGTGTCATATAGGAGCTGGACCAAAAAAAGATAGCATTGTTGTTGTAGAACTAGCTTTACTTAAGATTACAGGGAGACATAGGAGAGCATCAGGGACCAACCTCAATCACTGCATACAGTAGAGCCACACGTGACGGATGTCACTGTGCTTGCTTTGCAGTTTAGTTTCCTTCGCTGTCTGGGAACACTGTCCTTGCAAAGGCTCCAGGTACCCTCTGCTTCGCAAACACACGTTACCGCCCACTTGACAACGTCTTAGCCCATTATGCCACCGAAAAGGTACCAATTTGTTAGCACGAGTGGAGACATTTCAAGATGTGGAATGAGGTTACTGCACAATCTCAACACCGTTACACATGGCCACAGAGAATTTAATTGAAGCTGCAATCGATTGAATTGGGGCCTCATGCCAGAGGAAAAGACAGACTGGGTAGCTCCAGAAATGGAGAGAAGGACTGTGATTACGAGATTAGTTTATGGATTATTTGTTAAAGACAAGAAGTCCAGGTTCCGACAGGAAATTTGTAAAGGGATAAGGGACTATGTTTTATATAGCATTCAGTAAAGTAGGTATCAGAAATAATTCCTTTATAATGTATCTGAGGGGATTTATAATCAGGCATAAAGGAAATGATTAGACTCCATGGGAATACTAAAATATCAAGGGTATTCAAATCACATCTTCACGTTCTGTAGTGTTGATTTCCTTTTACCTTGCTAGTTAATTGATTGATCAATGTCATCGAGTACACTCATTGGGTCCTGACTAAATTAGTCTCTGATTAAAAGGGAAGAATGGAAATCAGCGGTCTGGTTTTGAATACTGATGTTCTGATGGGGACATATTTGAGGATACATTTGAATCATGTTCTGATATTCAAATAATTAAATACACTGCTCAAAAAAATAAAGGGAACACTAAAATAACACATCCTAGATCTGAATGAATGAAATAATCTTATTAAATACTTTTTTCTTTACATAGTTGAATGTGCTGACAACAAAATCACACAAAAATGATCAATGGAAATCAAATTTATCAACCCATGGAGGTCTGGATTTGGAGTCACACTCAAAATTAAAGTGGAAAACCACACTACAGGCTGATCCAACTTTGATGTAATGTCCTTAAAACAAGTCAAAATGAGGCTCAGTAGTGTGTGTGGCCTCCACGTGCCTGTATGACCTCCCTACAACGCCTGGGCATGCTCCTGATGAGGTGGCGGATGGTCTCCTGAGGGATCACCTCCCAGACCTGGACTAAAGCAACCGCCAACTCCTGGACAGTCTGTGGTGTTGGTGGATGGAGCGAGACATGATGTCCCAGATGTGCTCAATTGGATTCAGGTCTGGGGAACGGGCGGGCCAGTCCATAGCATCAATGCCTTCCTCTTGCAGGAACTGCTGACACACTCCAGCCTCATGAGGTCTAGCATTGTCTTGTATTAGGAGGAACCCAGGGCCAACCGCACCAGCATATGGTCTCACAAGGGGTCTGAGGATCTCATCTCGGTACCTAATGGCAGTCAGGCTACCTCTGGCGAGCACATGGAGGGCTGTGCGGCCCCCCAAAGAAATGCCACCCCACACCATGACTGACCCACCGCCAAACCGGTCATGCTGGAGGATGTTGCAAGCAGCAGAACGTTCTCCACGACGTCTCCAGACTCTGTCACGTCTGTCACATGTGCTCAGTGTGAACCTGCTTTCATCTGTGAAGAGCACAGGGCGCCAGTGGCGAATTTGCCAATCTTGGTGTTCTCTGGCAAATGCCAAACGTCCTGCACAGTGTTGGGCTGTAAGCACAACCCCCACCTGTGGAAGTCGGGCCCTCATACCACCCTCATGGAGTCTGTTTCTGACCGTTTGAGCAGACACATGCACATTTGTGGCCTGCTGGAGGTCATTTTGCAGGGCTCTGGCAGTGCTCCTCCTGCTCCTCCTTGCACAAAGGCGGAGGTAGCGGTCCTGCTGCTGGGTTGTTGCCCTCCTACGGCCTCTTCCACGTCTCCTGATGTACTGGCCTGTCTCCTGGTAGCGCCTCCATGCTCTGGACACTACGCTGACAGACACAGCAAACCTTCTTGCCACAGCTCGCATTGATGTGCCATCCTGGATGAGCTGCACTACCTGAGCCACTTGTGTGGGTTGTAGACTCCGTCTCATGCTACCACTAGAGTGAAAGCACCGCCAGCATTCAAAAGTGACCAAAACATCAGCAAGGAAGCATAGGAACTGAGAAGTGGTCTGTGGTCACCACCTGCAGAACCACTCCTTTATTGGGGGTGTCTTGCTAATTGCCTATAATTTCCACCTGTTGTCTATTCCATTTGCACAACAGCATGTGAACTTTATTGTCAATCAGTGTTGCTTCCTAAGTGGACAGTTTGATTTCACAGAAGTGTGATTGACTTGGAGTTACATTGTGTTGTTTAAGTGTTCCCTTTATTCTTTTGAGCAGTGTATATGAAGAAAGAATAATCTTCTGTACATCTGACATCTAATGCAATGCATGTCTAATGAATAAAATGAATCCAAGATTTGCATTTCACCTAAAGTGTGAAATCCCATACTCGTCACTCATTTCAAAAGTATTTTTGAAAGATGGAGAATTTGCTATTTTAATACTTTCTTATCCGTGACCTCTGTTGTACTAAGAATAAAGTTACTAATTAATTGAAAACCTCTGACTCTGCCAAGGAGAATTGAGAGAACATTGGATATAATCAAAGAATTACAGTGAGGGAAAAAAGTATTTGATCCCCTGCTGATTTTGTACGTTTACCCACTGACAAAGAAATGATCAGTCTATAATTTTAATGGTAGGTTTATTTGAACAGTGAGAAACTGAATAACAACAAAAAAATCCAGAAACACGCATGTCAAAAATGTTATTAAGTGATTTGCATTTTAATGAGGGAAATAAATATTTGACCCCCTCTCAATCAGAAAGATTTCTGACTCCCAGGTGTCTTTTATACAGGTAACAAGCTGAGATTAGGAGCACACTCTTAAAAGGAGTGCTCCTAATCTCAGTTTGTTACCTGTATAAAAGACACCTGTCCACAGAAGCAATCAATCAATCAGATTCCAAAATCTCCACCATGGCCAAGACCAAAGAGCTCTCCAAGGATGTCAGGGACAAGATTGTAGACCTACACAAGGCTGGAATGGGCTACAAGACCATCGCCAAGCAGCTTGGTGAGAAGGTGAGAAGGTGACAACAGTTGGTGCGACTATTTTCAAATGGAAGAAACACAAAAGAACTGTCAATCTCCCTCTGCCTTGGGCTCCATGCAAGATCTCACCTCGTGGAGTTGCAATGATCATGAGAACGGTGAGGAATTAGCCCAGAACTACACGGTAGGATCTTGTCAATGATCTCAAGGCAGCTGGGACCATAGTCATCAAGAAAACAATTGGTAACACACTACGCCGTGAAGGATTGAAATCCTGCAGCGCCCGCAAGTCCCCCTGCTCAAGAAAGCACATATACAGTGGGGAGAACAAGTATTTGATACACTGCCGATTTTGCAGGTTTTCCTACTTACAAAGCATGTAGAGGTCTGTAATTTTTATCATAGGTACACTTCAACTGTGAGAGACGGAATCTAAAACAAAAATCCAGAAAATCACATTGTATTATTTTTAAGTAATTAATTTGCATTTTATTGCATGACATAAGTATTTGATCACCTACCAACCAGTAAGAATTCCAGCTCTCACAGACCTGTTAATTTTTCTTTAAGAAGCCCTCCTGTTCTCCACTCATTACCTGTATTAACTGCACCTGTTTGAACTTGTTACCTGTATAAAAGACACCTGTCCACACACTCAATCAAACAGACTCCAACCTCTCCACAATGGCCAAGACCAGAGAGCTGTGTAAGGACATCAGGGATAAAATTGTAGACCTACACAAGGCTGGGATGGGCTACAGGACAATAGGCAAGCAGCTTGGTGAGAAGGCAACAACTGTTGGCGCAATTATTGGAAAATGGAAGAAGTTCAAGATGACGGTCAATCACCCTCGGTCTGGGGCTCCATGCAAGATCTCACCTCGTGGGGCATCAATGATCATGAGGAAGGTGAGGGATCAGCCCAGAACTACACGGCAGGACCTGGTCAATGACCTGAAGAGAGCTGGGACCACAGTCTCAAAGAAAACCATTAGTAACACACTACGCCGTCATGGATTAAAATCCTGCAGCGCACGCAAGGTCCCCCTGCTCAAGCCAGCGCATGTCCAGGCCTCCTGAAGTTTGCCAATGAACATATGGATAATCCAGAGGAGGAATGGGAGAAGGACATGTGGTCTGATGAGACAAAAATAGAGCTTTTTGGTCTAAACTCCACTCACCATGTTTGGAGGAAGAAGAAGGATGAGTACAACCCCAAGAACACCATCCCAACCGTGAAGCATGGAGGTGAAAACATCATTCTTTGGGGATGCTTTTCTAAAAAGGGGACAGGACGACTGCACCGTATTGAGGGGAGGATGGATGGGCCCATGTATTGCGAGATCTTGGCCAACAACCTCCTTCCCTCAGTAAGAGCATTGAAGATGGGTCGTGGCTGGGTCTTCCAGCATGACAACGACCTGAAACACACAGCCAGGGCAACTAAGGAGTGGCTCCGTAAGAAGCATCTCAAGGTCCTGGAGTAGCCTAGCCAGTCTCCAGACCTGAACCCAATAGAAAATCTTTGGAGGGAGCTGAAAGTCCGTATTGCCCAGCGACAGCCCCGAAACCTGAAGGATCTGGAGAAGGTCTGTATGGAGGAGTGGGCCAAAATCCCTGCTGCAGTGTGTGCAAACCTGGTCAAGACCTACAGGAAACGTATGATCTCTGTTATTGCAAACAAAGGTTTCTGTACCAAATATTAAGTTCTGCTTTTCTGATGTATCAAATACTTATGTCATGCAATAAAATGCAAATGA